TGTGGTGTCTGAGCTAGGATTGCTGTTAAAAACAGTTCTTTAGAAGGACTGTTTATGAAATAAATGAAACAACAATCTGTACTCTCAGCACGCTGCCATCTTAGATTAACTGAGCAGGGAGTGAAGTGGTGGGGGCTCCAAGCCTATATTTGCCTTGGTCCCCAAATGCCTTGATACGGCCCTGGATGTGGGACTGACTTCTGGGGTGATCTGATTCTATCGCATGTATAAATATTAAATGCTTACGTATATTATTGCTTTTCACCGGTAAAAATGTGTATTGGGGATAAATCTATCTACTTTTTTCTTTTCAAGCACTTTGTTTGTTTTCTTGGTTTTATTTGAAATATTTCCGGCCCTTTCTCTCTCTAACCTTCCTGCATGCTGCATGTTTTCTCCGTCTTCCAGAAAAACTGTAAACTAGATTTCCTACTTTCTAACTAATCAGCCAAAAGGATCTTCACATGTGCAGCGCTCCAGCAGCAATGAGTGGAAATCACCGGGGCCCAGATTAACTCAGCTGAGCACGTCAGAAAAGTACAGAATACCAGAGAACATGCGCTGATATGAACGATCGCAGGGGAATTATTTTGATTTAGTGGAGCAGTTTTGTGAATATAACAGTGGCCGCGTGCAGGATGCAGCTGGAGTATTTGAGCCATTACCGCTGCGTCCTCTCTGCCTGCAAAGCTGAGTCCATGAATGACGTCATATATGCAGATACTGGATCTTTTTTCGGGTTTCCCGCAGTTTGAATTTTTAAGAAACGCAGCTTGATTCTGGGTTTAAAAATGCATCGTAATTACTGCATTACTGACAATTGTATCGAGTAAATATTACCATTTTCTTTCCCTGTAATGCCTTACATTACTGCATTACAGCAAAAAGCAATGCATTACAGTAATTAATTACTTTTGTACCGCGTTACTCCCAAAACTGGTCCTAAAACACACGTTTTGTCTGGTTGACCCTGGATCCAGATAAAAATGGGTGCTGATTACAAATTCCACTCCTGGACTTCCAGAAAGCTGAAGGAAAACACGGCCATCTTGTTTGTAGTTGACGGTTTACTAAGTGTTAACTGGACTGTAAATCTGTCATAAATAAGCTAAACTGAGTCAATATTGTTGCAGGAGGAAGAGGCGCTCTGCAGCTTCAGCAGTCACAGCCGGACCTGCAGAACAAGGCCCAGCCTTCTCTGTCAGCATGAGACATGCGTTCATACCTTTTCGAGGTTTATTTGATGAAACAGTTGAAATTTATGGTTCCTGTTTTCTCTTTTTGTCACTTGCTTTGTGTTTTCATTCCTGTTGTTTGTATTAAACTGCAGGTGGGATGATTTTAGCAGCAGATTACTCCCAGTTAGAATTAAGAGTGCTGGCTCATCTCTCAAAGGACCAGCGCCTCCTGCAGGTTAGTGCAGCAAAATCAGTGTTTTATTCCTTTGTATTCAGAAACCACTGACCCAGTGTGTCACTAAGGTGCTGAACGGAGGAGCAGACGTGTTTCGCTGCATCGCTGCAGAGTGGAAAAGCGTTGACCCAGATTCTGTTCAGGACAGTCTCAGACAACAAGCTAAACAGGTCCTTCTAGGAGGGAGCAGGAATGGGTGTGTGGAGATTTTCAGCTGACTGCTTGTGTTGACCGACAGATTTGTTACGGCATCATCTACGGAATGGGAGCAAAGTCTCTGGGGGAGCAGATGGGAGTGGAGGAGGAGGACGCAGCCTGCTACATCGAGAGCTTTAAAGCCAGATACAAAGGTTCGCCCTGAGTCCGCAGCAACACTTTGGGGTTATTGCTCAAGTGGCTTTAAGAAGTTGTAAATTAGTTTTCACTGGAGGTCTGTTAGAGATGGATGACACAATCCTGCACACGGGATTTTCCACAACAGCTGGATCAAGTATTAACGGGGACATGTTATAGAGAACTCACCTTCTCTGCTGCCTCTGTAAACACGCTAATCATAAAAAAGCCCCGTCCATCCGTGCCAGTGTTTGGTTTTAGGAATCATGCGCTTAAAACAAGCCATTTCAAAAAGTTTGTGACGTCACAACATTTGGCATAGAACCTCTCGTGCAATAGAGCTGCTGCCGGAGGAGCAGCTACTCTACTCCAAGTTCCTCCCAGATATCGGAGCGCCACAGCTTATAGCAGCCTGAGTGGGGCATGGGTAGGCATGGCCAGCTCCAGGCATGTTTTGTAATGATCATAGAACCATAACTTAAGAAAAAGTCTTCATGTGTTCCCTTTAGGATAAACCGGGTGAGTTCCACACACGTCATCTTCTGTGTTTTCTGAACCTAACAGCTGTTTATTAACGCACTGAGACCTAAAGCTGGATTTTGTGGGGTTAAAAACTAATCTTACATTTAAATGAATCTTTAAGGCAGTTTCCGGAACACTGTAGGTCCAGTGGAAGGGCCTGGGTCTAATTGTGAGATTGAGGTCTATAAAACACCAAAAGTCATGTGACGTCTCGTCTTCTGTTTCAGGGATAAATACTTTTCTCAAGCAGACTGTGAAGAACTGCGTAAAGGACGGCTACGTTCGGACGCTGATGGGCCGCAGGAGGCATTTAGCTGGAATCGCCAGCACCAACAGCCACATTAAAGCTCATGTAAGATGGATCGCTCATGAGAATGTTACTTACTCTATGGGATGAGATTTGAAAGTTTTGTCTCATCCTCCATCTGTGATGCAGGCAGAGCGCCAGGCGGTGAACACCACGGTTCAGGGTTCAGCAGCTGACATTGTTAAGCTCGCTACTGTGAACATCCAGAAGCGGCTACGACAGACGTATCCTGCAGAGCCGCTGTCTCACCGGCACTCAGGTGCTCTCGTTGTGGGGTTCTCTTCTCTTTTTGTACCAACGCATGCAGACGGGTCCAGAAGACTGATCATTATGTTAATCCAGCAGCACAAAATCAGAGCAGAGCCGGGAGGTCGCAGCTCAGAGGAGCCTACTTTGTACTGCAGCTGCATGATGAGCTCATCTACGAAACCACAGAAGAAGACCTCATACAGGTACGAATGCTGCTATTCGGCAGAGTTTTGCTTTATGATCGACGTCTCCTAATTATTCTGAAACAGCTACTTTTGTTGTCCGCTCAGGTTGCACAGATAGTCAAGAGGGAGATGGAGACAGCGGCCAAACTGTACGTGCAGCTGAAAGCCAAGGTCAAAGTGGGACCCAGCTGGGGGAACCTGCAGGACCTTGATGTATGAAGTGTGTAAAAATCAAGTGCAATGTCTTTAACGCTAGTATTTTAATCCCGTTACTGACAGCAATGAATTTAATCCAGTTTATTAACTACATGAACTTTTAAAACAGCATCTGTAGATATATTTATCAGTGTACAGCTTGAGTTTTTAGCCAATTCTACATTTTTGAAGAAACGAGCAATAAACTAATGGTACAGATTTGACGGTTTCAGATGTTAGCGGCCTCTTCCTCAAGCAAAGATTCACACGTTTGACCAAATTCGTCCTGAATCACATTTTATTGGCCCGTCGCTGGGGCTGGTTGTCACGTGAACAAACATGATCTTTCATATGAACACGGTTATACACTGATGACACTCACTGCACAAGAAGATTCAACATGGGAGAAACCTGCAGTTTGAATAAAAACATCTTTAAATATGGGCACAGAAATAAATGAGACATTTTGTGAATTTGGCCTTGAATGTGTCGTTCGGAGCAGATGACTCATCTTTGTTTAAAACTAAAGCTGAACTCAGGATGACCTCTGACTCAGTTCAGAACTACACAAACATCTGTAGAACATCAGCCATCACAGACCATTTCACAAACCCCTTTTCGCAACCTTCAAGTGGAACTAGATGAGGAACGGTCACCCTGCCTGCATAACAGAATCAACCGGAGCTCATCAACAGGCTCAGTTTGACACCAAAAGTAAATAAATACACCACAAACAAATCTCTAAACAAACTCAACGGTACAGATAAATTAAAACAGGAGTGTGCATGCAGATGTTTTGTTGCTGCCTTCCTTCCATGAAACATCTGCAGAACTTGAATCCAATGAACTTGAGAGCCAACATGTATTTAATAATGTCAGTGTATAACATACTTACTGTAGGTAAGAAGCCGCTCCAGTTGGGTGTTTTTGCTCATTAACAGCTCCTCACACTGGATGCATTATGTGACTGAAGTGTAACGTGATAGAAAACTGCTTTCTGAGCCGTCAGACGTGCACCCACCCAATGTGTGGTTGCTCTGTAATGTTAAGCTGTGACGTAAACACGAGGCTAACTGATAGGAGAACATGTATCTGCAGACACACTGACGATCAGGATCTTTGGTCGTTTTGCTGATGAACCCTTAAACGGCTTGGTCTAAAAGAAGAGAACTGGCCTGTTCTGAGCAGGAAGATGACATGTTTGATTTTCAAAGTGAATTTGAAGAGAAAGCTGAAAAAAGTTTGTCTTGATCAACATAAATGTCTATACCACTTCGCTTTTACATGTTGTTTTTTGGCAGCACTGCTGCTGCAAAAAGAAGAAAGTTTTCAATTAAGGCATCAACACAGGCCGAGCTGCGAGTCTCAAGAGTAAGAAATAAACCAGAACAAATAATATGTACAGAGGTACGATAATACGTGCTACTCAAGCATCCTTGTGTTCCACCGGCTAGATGTGAGGCAAGAGAAACACCAGGTTGTGCTGCGGGCGTCGCCAACACCCATGCCTACGGTTTTGGGGTTTAATGGTTTGCATGAGAGAAGAAAAATAAGGACACAGTAGGTTTGAAGGTTTCTCTGAAGCTGTCAGGGCGCCTTCCCGTCGGGACTGAAGTGGTACCTGACAGGAGGACCAGGGAGGTCCTCGTCCCCATCTGATTCTGGAGCGAATGACACGGTGAGATCAACGTAGCGGCGTCCGGCTAATGGCTTGATAAGCTTCTGCATCCTGTGAGGATAAACGGGTCCACTTACATTCAGCCAGTAACAAATCATTTTAGTGAGAAAATCAGTGGAAATTAAAAGGAGGATGAGGTTAAGCGCTCACGTGAGCTTGAGTCTCTTCGAGTGTCCAGGCATCACAGGCACATAAAGCATCTTCACCCCATGAACAACCATGCTCGGTTCAATCCCATACTTCTCCTATCATCAACATTTTTAGAATTAATAACAGCTTTTAAAAATCAGGAAACGGCACTAATACAGACGAAAGCCTCACCCTGACAGCGCTCATGAAGTCAGACAGAGTGAAGTCCTCGTGGCCGAAGATGGTCCAGCAGTCCCAGATGGAGAAGAAAATGTTGTTCCTGGAACAAAGCCACGGTCACGGTCTTGCACTAAAACCGTTTGTCGTGCAGCTGAGAGTGAGACGGGGATGTGCTCCTACCTGATCAGGGTGTGTTTAACCGTGGCGGGCTCGGTGAGAACAACCACCGGAATGGCCAGGTTAAAGAAGCAGTTTTTAAAAGATTCCAGCCCATAGCCTCCGACCACCTTGATCAACTCCAGCGCCACCTTGGTGCATCAAAAAACACCAAACATCACTCTCTGACACCTCGTTTAAACAATTCAGGCACTTGTTCAACAGAAAATCTGTTGTTTTCCAAAAGCTGTGTCATTGTAGAGAATTTGGTCGAAAGGCAATAAATGAATGAAAGGCTGTTCTCACCATTCCAGCCACAGCAGCCGTCGCCGTGGCGATAGCAGGGATGATCTTCCCAGCGATACGTTTGGTCTTGAGTCGGTCAGCTGGCTCGATTGAATACATTCTGGCTCGAAGGGAGGACGCTGACGTGACAAAGTCTATGTGGCCGTTATTGTCATCATCTTTTTCAAACTGAAGGGAACTCATGTGCAGCCCATCTGCAGAACAACAACATAAATATGTTTTACACTAATACTTGTTCAGGATAAACAGAATACAGCGAGCTAATAATTCCCTTTAGACTTATCTAAAAGCTTCAGTTCATCTGAGCTGAAGTCGCGTCTAAACTCGTCTCCGTACCTGGCGTGGTCTTGTTGGAGGTGATGGCCTGCTCCAGCTGTGTGATGGCCTCCCTCTCCTCTTCGCTGCTTAGAGGCATCTTCAGCTGGTCAGGCTTCTTTGCTGACTCATCGGTTTCTATGCACTAACAGGCACAGATCGAAGCTCGTTAGATTTTCCGTTTCTCCACTGAAACAAAGATGAAACCAACAGACGCCTACTTTCTCTGAAGGTCTGTACTCGGGAATCTTGACACCTGAGAGAATCTTTGACACCGCCTCTTCAGAAAGATCCTGATGAACAGAATAGCCATGCAAGAGGTCATTGTGTGTGTGCGTGCGTGCGTGCGTGTGTGTGTGTGTGAGGCCTACCTTCACGGAGTAAGAGATGTTATAAATGTCTGCAAAGAGCCGTGCAGTGCTGATGATGAAGCTGAAGTGCCTGACGGGAGCAGAGAAGGTTTTGTACATTTGAATGATAACTGCGCGCGTGTGTGTGTGTGTGTGTGTGTGTGTGTGTGTGTGTGTGTGTGTGTGTGTGTGTGTGTGTGTGTGTGTGTGTGTGTGTGTGTGTGTGTGCATAAAACACAAACCAACACAAGAACAAACTCACAACGGGTCCTTCAAGTCGAACTCAATCGGTGTTGGGGGTCTTTTTGGGGACTGCCAAAACAAACCTAAACAGATAAAGTCAGGATGACGTTTGTGGCACAACTGATGTTGTTTAGAAGCTGCTGACCAACTTCATAAGAACTTACTTCCATCTTTTAGTCTCGTCTCCAGAGGGAAAGAGTGCAGCAGCTGTTGGCCCTACATGAGCAGCACATATAAACAACCCATAAGGCCTGAAGCTCATCACTATGGTTGCTATATAAAGGTAGAAAGTAGTACCTTTCTTTTGAAATACTTCTCAAACTTCAGACGGGCTGCAGCGATGCACTGTTCCCAATGACTGGGCCGTCGACTCAGCAGCTTAATGACCTGGAATGACCCCTCCAGACTTTCCCCAGCCTGCATCCTCTGCATGAACACAGACAGATTTTAAAGGCGTGCTACATGAAGAACACGCGTTTCCTGGTGAAACTCACATGGAGCACCGCTTCAGCTGAAGGGTGCATCTGCCAGAAAGCGTTGTACATGGAGGGCTTGTGGACAAACGCACTCTCAAACTAGACCACAACCAAAGAAACAAATATCAAGTTACTAGGACTCCTAACTATGTGCAGTATGGAAAGAATGATTATTGAGGCAGCGACACCTTATCTCTAGCCCACTGGATGGTGTGCTCTATAACGGAGGGAAAAGACTTGAGAGTGCAGAATGGGATCTCCTCTTCTGGAGGGTCCCTCTGGGAGGCAGAAGGATGGAGATTTTAGAGTAGAGGGGGAATTATTAATTATTAATTAAGCTATTTTAGAGAATTAAACCAAAACAACTTTTTCCATGAACTCACATGGCTGTTGTAAGACTCGGTCAAGTTTGGCACAATGATCTCAGTGTGTCCTTTAGTTCCCATGGTACCCGAGTCTAGAAGAGGTCTCTGATTGGACACACAGCGGCTGAAAAAAACAAACAAAAACAAAACACATCTGCATTGAATTAAGTATACGTGTGGTATGTGCATGTATATGTAACCTAAAACTTGTCGGGAGCAAAGTTTATCCCACGTGAGTGATCAGTTTTTGAACTGGACTGTAGAAGGTGTAAGAGACCCACCACCCAAAGATAAGAAGTTCTGAAGGTCTGTCCCCATCTTCTTACCCAACATTGCAACGTGCACTACAAATTAGGGGTGCTCCGACTGATCGGTAGCGGTGATCGGCAGATTAAAACCTGATCGGAGCATCCTCTCTTTTAAGTGGAGCTTGCATCTACACAGTGTCTTCACACACCTGTCCACGTATCTCCTCGCCTCCACATTGTCCAGCGCAGTGACCACGATGTTCATCGTGGAGTAGAAGGAGTCGTTGTAAATGTTCTCAGTAGCTGGACACACCTTGTGCAGGTGAGCCTCCACCTGCAGCTCTGGGTTGATCTCCCGCGTGGCTTCTGCTGCGGTCGTACTTTTTGGCTTCTAAACGCAGACGACAGGAAAATCAGATGCTCGATCTGATTCGACTCGTGTAACAGCCAGAACTAAAGCATCGACTCGCCTGGATGTGATGGGGTCTGAAGAGAAACTGCCTGTTGAGGTTTGACTTCTCTATGAGGTCTGGGTCAGTGATGCACACCTGAGAAGGTCACACACACACACACACACACGCACGCACACACACACAGCAGTAAACACCAAAAACGGGTCAAACTGCAGGAAGAAGCTGAGGAAGACGTGCACACCTCCCCAGAGCTGCTGGCCAATCCCACACCAAGGAGAGCAAAGTTTTTAAGCATCTCACAACCGATGGCACCACAACCGACCTTAAAAAAAGAAAACAACGACGTTTATTTAGACACAATTGAACAGAGGTGTTTCATATGCAGATAAAGTCCAGTTCCTACCATAAAGACCCTGAGCTTGTGTAGATCAAGACACATGGATTCACCAATACAAGCTCTCAATCCGTCATATCGATCGCCTCGTGGAAAAAACTCCTCAGAGGGAAGAGACTGGAGAGGCCTGACGAGCTCCAAGGTGTCCAGATAAAACTAAACACACGAGAAACGGTTTGAGAGAGATCAGATCATTACAAGTGGGAGAAAACCCACCGATGTGCTACGTTTCAACGCTCTGACAGAACCCTACCCATTGCTGCAGAGGTGCAAACTTCCCTGTGATAGCCTTTAGAACTTCCTGACTGGCTATTCCTCCCACAGCTGCAGCTAACGGAGCCAGAGTTCCTCTGGCGGTCCTGGACAAACATCGCACCAGCTCAGAGTTTACAGGAGCCTGCGAGGGAGAGAGGCAATCAAAGGGTGTGAAGCTGGATCAACAGTGTGAAAACAAACCTGCTGACCACTAAGATGTCTTACACCTAAAGTAGGAGTAGTCTTATATTCAAATGCATACATTACATGTAACTGTATTTATTATAAAGCTACTGGACGGTTCTGACTATAATCTAGGAAGCATCATGTTCATTCTGAAAATCCAACATTCACCCCTAAAACCAACAGCTACAAAAGAAGGAATAAAATACTCACCTTGTTTTTAAGGGTGGTGTTCACCTCCTCAGTCAGCTTTAATAAAGTATCAGCATCCTGTAAACACCTGAAAACAGCAGAAACGTTCAGGAAGTCCCTCCTCTCATCCATCCATCACCTGCTTCACTCCGATAAAGCACACGGGCTAGTTCTGTTTACCCGACGTTGGGGAGTCTGCAGAGCTGCTCCTGAAATCGGTCCAGAGCCAACATGGCGGCATGGATCTGTAGCGGGGCCTGATGGGTGGATTTAAAACAACAATGTGACACTAACTAAAGGATTTGGATGTTTAATCAGAGTATGCAACTATAATTACTTTAGTTATCTGGTTAAACTGGTCTTAACTCGCCACTGGACAAAAGCAAATCTGACACTCACTGTTAAACACACATTCAATTATGAAGGGCATCAAGTGACCGTATGGATAACTGATCTGCTGCTGTGAAAAGCTCTCAGGTTTAGTTTAGCATGTTAATACAGCCGATTACACACGCCAGAAAATCCAGCATTAATCCATCAGGTTAGATCAGAAGGCTGTGTGAACATAACCTGGCCTAGCCCGGTCTTGGTAGCACGGCCAGGTTCCTTTCACTCAGCCTTCTCGAGAACGCGGAAATGTCAGAGTATGTGGGCGGGGCCAAAGATGTGCAGAGACATCAGTGGTGTCACCCTTAGACTAAGGAGCCTGTGTGCAATGTTGCTTTTGGGGACACCGACTTAAGGTTGCAGGGATTAACCGGTTTGACTGTTAACCCCGGTTACCCCCCCCAAAGACATCTCCAACTCCGCCTATTAAGAAAACAACAAAAAGACAACATTGCGACCCGCACCGACCAAAACAAAGGTGAAACTGAGGAACTGCTTCATTTCCATCTAGGAAGCGGTTCAAGTCTCCTGTGTGGGAATGTTTTAGATATATTAGATTTATTCCCACAAAGGAGACTTGAACCGCTTCCTAGATGGAAGCGGAGCAGTCCTGATGGTTGTGCTTCTGCTGCGTGCACGCGTTCAGTTTCAATTTTGTTTTTGTTGGTGCGAGTCGCGCTATTGTCTTTTTGTTTTTTACGAGCATTGTTGGACACGTCGGGGGGGGGGGGGGGGGACTCGGAGATTAGGGTTGTCACGGTGTGAAAATGTAACCTCACGGTTATTGTGACCAAAATTACCACGGTTTTCGGTATTATCGCGGTATTTTTTTAAACATGTTACATTTTCAGACAACTACATAAACCCTGTATATCAGGAAAATATTGTCCTCAGTTTGTGTCTAAATTTAGCCTAAAATGTGTTATTTTGTAATTATGTTGTTTATTTGTTTACATTTTTCCCCTTTAGTCTTTAAAATACCAATATTTGCCCATAACTTCTTATTTTTTGTCTGTTTGATGTCATCATTTTAAAAATATTGGACCAGATGATACTCAGTACTCAAGTAGCCTTCTAATCAGATACTTTTTTACCCTTACTTGAGTAATAAACCCTATATCAGGAAAATGTTGTCCTCGGTTTGTGTCCTTCCAGTGAGCTTTGCAGATGTGGGAAAATGTCATCAGGCAGTAATGATTGTTAAATTCATAATTATTCTCGGAGAGAGACCAACTCTTATCTGCCCCTGGGAGCCCCGTAATGCATAGCGTCATTTCAACATGGCGGTGTCCGCGACACGGTTTATATGCAGGTAGCGGCGCTGCGGCTGCTTTATATAGCGACTCGTTGCATTCTCCCTCGACCCAAATCCTCGGATCACGCATTTTAGCTAAAACGCTAACGTTAGCTTGCCTTGCGTTGACTGTAGAGTTGTGGGTGATGGTCACGCAGATGTGTCATGAGATTTGAAGCGTTGCTGCCTTTCACAGACACTTTTTCTGCACGTGCTGCAAACAGGATAGCCGTCTTCTATCAACTGTCCCTCGGCATTCTTCACATATCCAAAACATGCCCGTACTTCCCGCTTTGTCTTCTTTGAGGGATAATAAATGTCCTGAGCGCTGCCGTCTCCTCCTTTGGCCATTATTTCAGCTTTAACTTCAAGAAAGTTTTGGTTGTAAACAACAAAGCGCGCATGTGCCGCCGGCAACTTCAGCAGATGATACGGTGGCTGGTAAGGGTCACTGCGCCTACACCGCAGCCACGGTAACCCACCGAGAAAAAAACAAGACGGTTATTGTTATTGTCAACTTTTTTACCGGGGTTTACCGCTACACCGGTTACCGTGACAACCCTACCTGATCACTGTCACTGAACTGTCACAGCTGGAGCTGCAGTCAGAGATGTTTACACCCCAGTGTCCTAACTGAGAATGAATCGCACACGCAGGAAGCCCCTGCTGGCTGATTCTACCCGCCTTTCGGAGGCTCCCTCGAAAGACAGGCATGAATTTCAACTGCCCAATCAGTCGGTGGTGGGTGTGGTAGGTCGGTTCGGCCTGAAGCCGACCACCGGGGGAGGAGGTCTGAAAAAATGGTCAGTTGAGCACTAAAAACACACAAGCTTATCCAGATGTCACCACAATGTGCCCTACCAGCACCATATGTTTACTCACCTCTGGTTTACTAAAGTCTGGGATCAGAACCTGAGGATCACACAGCTGCTGCTCTAACGTTCCCTGAAATACATAAAAGTCAGGAATATTTCAGGTAGCTCATTGAAATAATACTGACTGACTTTCTGTGCCATCATGATGCTCACGGAAACTCACAAACGTGTACGTCTTTGAGGTTTTCAGCAGAACAACGAAGCCTCCGTGTGTGTATGTCGGGAGCTGCGACGTGTCTCCTATTTCAAAACTGTGGGGGGAGCGGACTGATACGACACACGCAGACTAAATCAGACTTAGGTTGTTAATTATGTAAAGACATATAAGACTGGCTGAAACTCTTTTGCTTAATAAAACACAACCACTTTGACTGTTTTTTGTCTGATGTAATGTAGACATGTCACCTGTAATCTGTCGTGTGGAACCATTGAGCTGCAGCATGCCTCCGACCTCTCTAAACACAACACTCTGGCCTGTCTGTAAGCCGTGGGGATGGTTGTCCATGCAGGTCACCACCCCTGGATTGTCCTGATGGAAACAAGGACGCAGAACACACCAATAACACATCATCTGTTAAAATAGTGACGCAACAGGGTTTCTATAATCAGGAATTAGAAGTGTAATCGGATTACCTGAGTAATACTTTGGATAAAAATCTCCTTGGGCTCCTCTCCTGTGGGATCAGACACCTCAAACTCTTCTCCAAAATCACAAAACACTCGCACACAGATGCCGTAGGCATCACAGCAGATGAACTGGAGAAGGCAAGAGTCAGACACGTTATCACCGATACACGAGAAAAAGATTTCTGAATGTTGTTCCCCCATTAGTAAAACTGGGAGCGTGGTCTTACCCTGACGGGGGGTTGTTGTGAGTGGCAGAACTTATTTACTCTCTTCTGTAGGGTCAAACTGGCCTCAGTCAGAATCACACACTGCAGAACAACAGCAGGGTCCATGTTTACAGCAAAGATCGCCGATTTTATCAACGATCCAAATGAAAACAAGCAAACTGCATTGCTTCCATTAATGAAAATCAAAAAGGTTTCCGTACATGATCCTTGATCTAAAACAACAAATTTAGCCTAAAAATATGTTTTAAATTGAAAAAGCAACATTAATTACCAAAATCTGACCATTTTAAACATGCACACGGGAAGTTGTGACATGGATCAGAGTACACGAGTGGCCCGTTTTATTGACTTATTTGTACCATTTTAAAACTTTCCCCATTTTAACACCTAACTGAACTAACGCAGCTTCACTGATTCTGTCCATGGCAACAGGCAGCATGGTCATTAGAACGAGCAACAGCCATGTACAGGTAAAACTCCAAAAATCAGAATATGGTACAAAAGTTCATTTATTTCAGTAATTCAATTAAAATGTGAGACTAATAAAAAATATATATAAACCCATGACATGCAAAGCCAGAGATTTTAAGCCTCTATTTGTTATAATAGTGATGATTACAATTTATAAAACTCCACATTCAAAATATTAGACAATCAGAATATTGTGAAAAGGTTCAATATTCTAGACTCAAAGTGTCACACGCTAATAAGCTACTCAATCCAGAACACCTGCAAAGGGTTTCTTAAGCCTGATTTATGCTTCTCCGTCTGCGTCAGTGCGGAGACACGCAACGCCATTATCCGTCCTTGCGTAGGGCTCTGGCAGGCACGCAAGTATGTACGGAGTCGAGCCCACTTTTTTAAACATCCGTCGAACGAGACGGATTACGCAAGCTTGTGATTGGTCAGGACGCCGCTGTTGTTTACAGCGCCGCCATTGCAAAGAGAGCCGAGGATAACTAGCGGCAGACACGGAGAAGCTTGAAGAATACCTCGCGAAAAAACTCTAAAAACAAGAACGTTTAATTCTCCCGTGACTGGAGGAGTGAAAAGATGCGCAGCAAGCGTTTTATTTGTGGACGGAAATGACAGGAAACGTTGGTTTAGAGGTGGGGAGCGCATGAAGCGGTGGGAGAATGAGAGACAAATATGTCCATGTTAAAAGTCTCTTATATACACAAAAAACACAATATAGACACTCTATCTTGGACCGATACATGACAGGATACCACAGAACAGCGCTACGCCCTCTGGTGTCCTGCTGGGGAATTGCTTTGCAACACTCTCCAGGAGACGGAGAAGTATGAGAGCAAAACGCTTCCATCAGTCCGTGCGTGTCTGTCCCTTGCGGAGCTGACGGAGAAGCATAAACCAGGCTTTAGACGGTCTCTCAGTCTAAATAAATCAAGTCTTCAATAAATGGACTTTTACTCCATATTCAAATTTTTTGAGTTTCTGCATGCAAGCCAGTGGGAATATACTACTATTTAAATTATCACCTGAAGAGCACCAACTTACTTGATACTTCCTGAGAAAACTGAGATCCGTGTTGTCATCCAGGGGTACGGAAGATGCGTCGACTTGGACGTAAGGATTCAACTCAGCTACTCGAGGGCATACCGCCTCCACCCTTTGAGAGCAGGGGAAGAACCAGGTCAACAAACACGAGAAGAGCCTACGAGGAGGGGCGGCCTGACACTGAAGTCTTGCTTTATAACATGAGTAGATTCGTTGGCTATGTTGTTATTGATCACATGACTAATGATCTGTTTCTAGATAAACAGGCTGATTGAAATACAGAATTAAACAGACATTAAGGCAAAACAAGCTTTTCATTTAGGCACCACGCGCTAATGGGTCTGATTTAGTCTAAGAATAGCACCAAGGCTAGCTATAGGAATCACATTGAAGCACGTTTTCTGGACATTCAAACCCTCATGTCTCATTTGCATAACAGCTAGCTAACAATTGATCATCCCACAAACACTAGCAGCTGTATCATCTTTCATAAAATGTTTTAAGACAAAAAATGAGCAAACTGTATCATCCTTAGCAACATGCACCACCCAGAAATCATCTAATCATAGATAAAGCAGACGATGCTGATTCTGATTACCGGGCAGCTCCTTGGTACGTCTCTTTTAATTAGGACTGCTCTTATGTGTATGTTTGTATTTATGTTTTAAGTGTCTGACTTCTCCTAAGCTTTGTTATAATATATCTTTAAGTGGTAATGTTGTATTTTTTCAGATGAAATATAAAACATAGAAAAACCATGACTGCTCATGCTCTAGTTAGGACTGGCTTTAGAAAAGGCTAGTGAAGCGTTGGGCTAAAAATGACATTTGATTGAAGTTAGCTGCTGGCAACACACTCCTCCAAACAAACTTTGACTCATACAAGTGTCATTCTGGTTGGTGCATGCACACGAGGACTGTGCAGATTATGTATAGTTTCTGTGTTCTGATAAATGTACAAAGAATCTGTGCAGTCCAATCGTGTAGCACACTGTACCTCCTCCTCTGGCTCGATACATCATCTCTGCGAATAAAGAAGTTGGAGCCAAGATCCCAGGTCTCACACAGCTTTGTGTCATGAAGCGTTACTGACTGTACAACACACACACACACACACACACACACACACACACACACACACACACATGCAGTAAGCACACAAACAAATCAAATTGAATTGGCGATGTTTGAAAATAACACAACCTAAAGATTGTGCCTACCTTTACACCTGCCAAGGCAATATTCTTTGCTAAACAAAAAAAAAAAAGAGTGTAAACATCAAACTTGTTTATAAAGACCAATGCCAGAGTGCTGCTGGGCTAAAAGCTGCAGTCTTGCTCACCTATTTCCACTCCCATTGCTCCCATTCCACTGAGAAAGACTGAGGACTGGGCCATCTGGTGCATAGCACGGTCTCCGAGCACATATCGCTGGCGACTGGAGGGAGAGATGAAGAAGAAAGAGCGTGAGAAGATGAGTTAGATCAGGGAGAGAGGTGGTTGGTGATCATGTCTTAAGTTTCGAGTTATTTAGGTGAATCGCTGGCTAACTTGCCTGTAGAGAGAGTCGTCAATCTCCATCAAATCAGAAGCCATGGTGGGAGGGGAAATGGGGTTCAGCCGTTTCACAGATAGCGACTTCACCTATTAAACACCAATTATAACCGCAGATTATAAAACGCTGTTAGAGTTTATACCGTAAACCAACGCCCTGCTGTAACTTAGCAAGGTGGCTAAGTGTAACTGTCACCCAAGAGGGAAACAGAGCTTGACAACAACCGCTTCTAACACTCAAAGTTTAACTATAACAACGTGACTTACAAAGTACTACTATTTAGAAAGCTTGCTGATAAAAGCTCAAAGCTAGCTGCTTTAGCTACTAGCAGCGAGTGTCACTCCTGCCGGCAGGGATGCTTTTTTTCGGTACAACACCGGTGGCGAGGACTTCTACATACACTCAATGGCACCCGCGTTAGACCATACATCACCAAAATATTAATCATTTGTTCAAGACAATTGAGCTTATTGGAAATATGAATAAGAAAATGTTTAAATGTTGTTAAAATAAGGCGGAATATCTTACGCGAATATCTGACAGTGAGCACGACGAAATACAGCAAATGAATGGCTGTGACTGGTTAAAAACTTGGAGTACTTCCGGGTTATCACAATCACGTGACCAAAATCCTCCAATAGGGCATTTTTTCATGATGAAAGTCGAAAGAAATTTTTTCATATTTTGTCAGATGTTTACCAAATAACGGAGGCTATTGAGTTATCAATATTTCAGATTACACTTTTGTGAGTTTCAAACAACACACACGCACACGCACACACACACGCGCGCGCGATTCAAAAGCTCAGCACTACAAACGTTTCAGATCATAGTCCTTTGGCGGCCACACATGGACGTAATTTTCACTTTAGAAGTGGGGGGGACACGGAGTGGGGTGGGGTGTGTGTGTGTGAATCTTTACAGTATGCTCTAATGGGAAACAGGCTTCAACACAAACAATTGTTTTCCGCTTGGTCCTAGAGCTCAACCAGTGTCAATTTAATATAGCGTAATATTGTTTTTGGATGGTAAAAAAAAGCAGGGGTCAAAACTTGACTTTGGAAAAAGTGGGGGGGACATGTCCCCCCTGTCCCCCCCCCCAAATTACGTCCATGCGGCCACAGGACTTAGGAATTTAGTTCTAATACATTTATTATTAATAGATAATATAAAACAAACATATTTATTTATAAAGTGTTACCAGAAGACGTTTTTAGTTTCTAATCAAACATGTCAAATATAAAACTATAAGTTAGGCCAATAAATACCCTACTGCATCTAATAAACACAATCAGACATTCATAGACATTTATTTATTTCAAGGTCCACATTTTGTTTTAAACAGGAAAGCCATTTATGTATTTGGATTTCACAAAGAATGTATAAAACTACTCAAATTAATAAAATGAGAACCAAATACAATCAAAAAACAATTTGGTAAAATTAATCGAAGCTCCTGAAAGACAAAGTGTGTGTGTGTGTGTGTGTGTGTGTGTGTGTGTGTGTGTGTGTGTGTGTGCGTGCGTGTGTGTGCTTGTGTTTGTGTACTTGTATGTACTACCTACTGAGGACCTTTTTCACTTCTTTCCCTACAATGTGAGGACATTTTCCAAAGTGAGGACCTCACTTTTTTAAAACAGCTTACCAGTTGTTTTAGTCATACGGTGTGAATTACGTTTTTGTTACAGTTAGTGTTAGGGAGATGTCTGGGAAATGAAATACAACTTGGAAAGCTGGAGAGGAATTTCTCAACCAGTTTAAACTGAAAGAAAACAACCAGAACATTTTTCGGTTTTCTACTTTTTAAAGGAGCAAAGGTCAACTTGTGAGTAAAACATTTACCTGTGTTTGACTCTAGTTTTGGGGCTGACGTAGAATAAAGAAAACCACATTTGTGCTTTTTAATCAAACAGCTTGAAGATTAATTTATCGTGGATTATTTACATTCACTTTAATCTGAAATACAAAGGGCTCTGTTTCGATACACAAACCTTGACTCAGATACAGCTCAGTAATTTTGTCTTTTGCATGCTTGTTGAAATATCACTCAGACTGTGGATGCACCCTCCCTCTAACCATATTGGTCAGACAGGAACCTCCCCAGTTCTCTAAAATCACATTTGTAAACGTTCCCGCAATAGACGCTAAACTCCAAAGTACCACCTTTATCCCACAGACAACTGTCTACAGGCTCACCCTTTCCTGGCAATGTGGGGCAGTCGTATGGCGCTACATCGGCTCCAGAGGATCGCAGTTGCCCCTTTGAGTGTCTCCGGCGGTGCACCGACTAAAGTGCAGAGGGAAATGTCAACCCTGCCACGGGTGTATGTCACCAGACAGATCCCTCCTGAGGGACTGAGGCTCCTCCACAAGTCAGGACAGTGAGTTAAAGAATGTATTCAAACAGAATATCCCAAATCAACAAATTTAACAGATTTTGTGTTGCTTGTGAGTTTCAGGCATTTCTGAACGATTCTGTGGCTGGCGAAGTAATATTTGCATCAGAGCTTTGGTTACAATGTTCGTACCCTTGCAGGGTGCAGTTGGAGCTTTGGGACTCTGACGACGTCCCAGTGCCGAGGAAGGAACTGCTTCAGAGAGTCAAAGGGGTTGACGGTCTGCTCTGTGTGTTGACAGAAAAGGTTGATGCCGAACTGTTGGACGCAGCAGGTAGGTTACCTAAAATCTTTCAGTTAAATAACCTAAAATATGGTCTTTCAGTTTATGCTAAATGTTTCATAGGTCCAAACCTGAAGGTCCTCAGCACCATGTCAGTGGGTTATGATCATCTGAATTTGGAGGAGCTGAAGAAAAGGTGACCCCCACCTTTCTGATTCTGTTGTCCACATTGAAATATGAAGAGTTATGATAAATGATAAATAACCCGCACTTGTATAGGGCCTCTCAAAGTAAGGACTCCAAAGCGCTTTACACTACAGTGTATCATTCATCCATTCACACACACATTCACACGCTGATGGTGATGAGCTACGATGTAGCCACAGCTGCCCTGGGGCAACCTGACAGAGGCGAGGCTGCCGAGCACAGGCGCCACCGGTCCCTCCGACCACCACCAGCAGGCAAGGTGGGTTAAGTGTCTTGCCCAAGGACACAACAGCAGAATTCTCTGTCTGGAGTCGGGATAGAACCTGCAACCTTCCGATTACTGGACAACCCGCTCAACCTGTTGAGCTACTGCTTCCCCAGTTCATGTGTGTCTTTATGTAGCTATTTATGCTTTCACAAATAAAACCCAACGCACAAACTTCCGGTATGATCAACATGGAATAAGATGTTTGTTTGCATGTGTTTCTGTAGAGGAATCCGTGTCGGTTACACCCCGGATGTTCTGACAGACGCTGTTGCTGAGCTGACTGTCGCTCTGCTGCTGACTACTTCCAGGAGGCTTATTGAGGCGGCGCATGAAGCTAAGACGTAACGTTTTACACGCAGCCACACACTCCCAACACTACACATTCATGTGAACTTAGCACAAAGTAAGAAGCTCTGTGTTTGGTTGAGTATTTCTCTGTTGTACAACCCATTTCTAGCCTATATTGGAGGGAGCTGAACCCCCCCTTCACACATTACTGACTACTGAATCTGGTTAATTGAATGAGATGGTTTAAGTATGAAGAAACACAACATGCTGACCATGAGTCTAGTTTCTGTCTTCGTAAATTGGACCAGGTCTGCACTGATGGGGAACCAGCTTTGATGGAGGCTGTGTGATGGTGTAAGGCACATATGTCAGACTCAAGGCCCGCGGAGCATTTTTATGTGGCCCGCGAGATAAATATCAAAAATATATTAAAACTAGCTCGCTGGCCGATTTTACCGCAAAGACTTCAACTCCCATGATACTTTGCGGCGTTAGCGCAGAGCCGACGCGCCCCCTCCTTTGTGTTTTTTCCAGTGCCTGCTGCCGGTCTGCAGCTCCGCTGTCTCGGACAAACTACACTCCTCTCACTCAGCTGTTTTCTGACGTTGAAGCCCAGAAACGGAGATTCTAGCCGCTCAGTAATGTGTTCACGACGGAAAGAGAAAGTTTTCCAACTAACGTCCAGACAGAGCTGATATAACTCCAGCGAGCAGCGACACGCTCAAACCAGCACGACTCTGTGGCTGCTGTCGTTGTTGTTTTTCCTCCCCGACACACAACAACGTGGTCAAGCTGCTCAGACATGTTCATCAGCACAAACCTATGTGAGCACCTATTGTCATCTAATGTTGTCATTATTATGATGAAGATGAACAAAACAACAGGAGTCTCCTCCTCAGCTCAGATCAACCCCATGATGCAGGTATCTGGCTGGAACAGGTGAGCATCACAGTAAACCAGTGGAGCAAACTGAGCTTTAAATATGTTGGTTTTATGCTGTTTTTCTGCTCCAAAACATGAAAGTTAACAGGTGAGATGTTGCATTTTCATTTAAGATAAAATGATATTTTTATTTTGTTGTTGGCCTGTGAGAAAAGATTTAACCTACAGTAAACAGGAAGTGGAAAGGCTGCAGATAGATGAATAGAATAGAAAATCCCTTTACTGTTCCTCAGTGGGGAAAGCTAGACGTCACAGCAGCGATGACACGTATTACAGGAGAAAAAAGGAGAATAAAAATAAGAAAAATGAATAAACAAGAAAACATAAATCCTGAATAGATTTTAAAAATGCTGATTATACCACAAGTAATGAATACCACTGATGCATTTTATTTAAAACTGACTTGCTCGTGTGTAATTTGGTTATTCCACATTCAGTGTTAATGCAGAAATATGTTTGTTTCCAAATTTAAAGGTTCAAAATTGTATATATGTTGATAAAGAAAATGTGCAAATTTGCCGTCACTTTTTCAAAAAATATTAAGTTTGGCCCTCGACTCCGTCCCAGAGTTTCATTTCGGCCCCGTGTGAGTTTGAGTTTGACACCCTTGGTGTAAGGTGACAGGTTGTTGTGGGTGTGCATCACGACACTTCCACATGCTGCTGAGGCCCATCCTTGATTTGATGACTTTTTCATAAATGCAATCCAAATACTCAACTCTGCCACTCAACCAACAAACATGTTTCCTAACGTGTGGAACTGTTTAAGCTGAAATAATCAAGGTCTGCATTCATGAAATACCTTGCCTCGTGTCTACCTTTGTCAGAGGTGGCTGGGGCACATGGAGAACCCTATGGTTATGCGGATACGAGTTGGCCAACAGTACTGTGGGTATTCTGGGCCTCGGACGGATTGGTAAGAATCATGTTTGTGTATCATAGAACTGATTTTTCTGTCAACTTACCGTTTCTTCTGTGTGTCTCTAGGCGTGGCTATTGCTGAGCGTCTGGCACCTTTCAAAGTCAGGAAGTTTATCTACACAGACGTGGCTCCACGGCCTGAGCTGGCCAAAGCGATCAATGCGGAATACGGTACGACATGGATCATGGTCACTTAGTCACTTTTATCGAATTAAGTAGAGAATTTTAAACTTGCCATCTTCCCAGAAAGTAAAGCTAATTTCTGAACTGCAGCTTTTTTGCTGTAATATACTTAAGTTACTGATGCCGTTTTCATGTTGCAGTCTCTATGGACGAGCTGGCGAAACAGTCCGACTTCCTGGCTGTTTGCTGTGCATTAACACCGGAGACAAACAAGATCTGCGACAGGAACCTTTTCTCCAAGATGAAAAAAACCTCCATCTTCATCAACACAAGCAGGTAGTCCAGTCACCTCCTATTGATGTGAGATTAAAACAAGACTCCTGACCCTAAAGGGAATCTACAAACCAACATGTTTATGTATTTATTTAGGACGGTGCATGTTAATGAACATAAATGTAAAAGCAGCTTACATGAATGTAAACATGCCAAAGGCTAATTTCCATCTGTTGTCCTTAGACATAAAAAGACATAAAAAATCATCATTCATTCATAATAAAAACTCCATCACCAAACTTACACATACACACCATTCTATTCACAAATAAAACATTAAAACTACACAAATCATCCATGATCACACACTTGAGGATCAGGAGAAGAACTTGTGAGCCAAGATTCAGATGTCCTAGTGTATTTCACTACTGTTGGTACATCAATTATTTTATATCATTTAATAATGCATTATTTCAAGTTCTAACTTTTGATCTCCGTCACTCAGTACGACTGTTGATTTCAGATGTAGAGAGCTGGCTTGTAGGAGAGAGGGGTCAACGTAACGTTCGGACTGAACTGCAGGTTTGTTGGTTTTCTCTTGTGACAGAGGCGGGGTGGTGAACCAGGAGGACTTGTATGAGGCTCTGTCCACAGGGCAGATAGCAGCAGCGGGGTTGGACGTTACCGTCCCTGAGCCCCTCCCCACCAACCACCCTCTGTTTACCCTGAAGAACTGCGGTGAGTCGGACAGATTTTTGTACCAAATCCTCTGCTGTTAATACCAAACTCAGCTGTACTTTGTTGTTTTGATAACTCCCTTCTCCTCCTGCAGTGATCCTTCCACACATCGCCAGTGCCTCATACACCACCCGTAACGCCATGTCCGCCCTGGCCGCCAATAACCTCCTGCTCGGCCTGCGGGGTGAGCCGATGATCAAAGGGCTCAAGCTTTAAGAGAAAACCTGCTTTTGCTTTGGAACAATTAGTCTACATGTAACAGGGTTATTGCACCTTGTAGGCTTTTAATCAGTTTACTACTAAAACAGGCCAATAAACAGATTTTTGTTGTTTTTATTCAGTTTGATACAACAGCTGAACATACTTTACAAACTTCATGACTTTCAAACAGCAAAGAGACAATTCAACCAACTTATGGCCACACAAGAGACATACAGTGAAGAGAAACAATTTGGAGTGAGTCTTTTTTTTTGTCCAAATTTTCAGTCATAGTCACAAAGTGTGATTTTTAACCAATCATTTACCAGTTTTGAGGACAGACGACCCAGCAGGTTTCAGCCTGTAAAACTATTTTAGAGGCTTTAATGTGAAAGGAGGCTGATTTTAAACCCAAACCGCAGCAAGTTCCAATTAAACCACTACATTGGTTTGTTCAAAAACACGGGTTTCTGTCCAGAAGCAAAGTTTTCAGATGTTTGATAACTATGTCCAATAAAAGCATTGTACTATACGAAAGGAGCTTGTCATGACTTTAACCTGTGAGGTGCCGACCAAACTGATATGGCGCGGTATGGGGGCCAAAATTAAGACTGCTGCCCAGCAGCAGGAGGCTATATAAATTCTGAAGCAAACTACCGACCTGATTAATGATAAGCTGGTGCCGGTAACTGAGAGGCTGGCACTGCTTACTGAGGAATAGCACCTTTACCGGCGTTACTACTAGATACGCTAGGGACTAGCAGCTCTCAGCTGGTCATTGACTGGTTCACACACTCCCTCTGCTGTCCATTAGCATGGATAGGCTAGCGTTAGCCTGGACGGGCTGGTGTTAGCATTGGAGAGGCTAGCCATTAGCGTGCCTAGGCTGGCCACTAGCTGACTAGTGACTCTCTCGAGACACGCTAATGGCTAGCCTCTCCGATGCTAACGCCAGCCTATCCATGTTAATGGTCCGTCGAGGAGGTAGGAAATCCAGCTAGTGGCCAGCCTAGGCACGCTAATGGCTAGCCTCTCCAATACTAACACCAGCCTGTCCAGGCTAACACTAGCCTATCCATGCTAATAGACAGCAGAGGGAGTGTGTGAACCAGTCAATGACCAGCCGAGGGCTGCTAGTCCCTAGCGTATCTAGTAGTAACGCTGGTAAAGGTGCTATTCCTCAGTAAGCAGCGACAGCCTCTCAGTTACCGGCGCCAGCTTATCATTAATCAGATCAGTAGTTTGCTTCGGAATTTTTATAGCCTCCTGGTGCTGGGCAGTAGTCTTAATTTTGGCCCCCATGCCGCACCATAAACTGAGAGCAATGGCCAATACACTGGAGTACTTCCAAGGCAAAGACGTGATCAGTTCCATAAAACAGAACTCTACAACACAGCAACAACACTGAACTTCCCTAAAGTACGACGATGCTCTTATTTACAGGTTAGACAGGCTGATGGATAATCACTCACATAGGATACAGGGAGTTTATGGGTCAGCTGAAACCAAAAACACTCCTTCTGAAATTATATTAGAAAACAGACAAGTCCTGTTAAAAAAGTGTATTTAAATGACGTGTCAGTAGACATCGTGCATGACTGATCGCCCATGACGGAAGAAAGATCCTTAACTCTTGGCCTTTATAACCAAGGAAACAGCCAACAGAGCAAAGATGGACACTTGGAATAAATCATTTCTGTAAACATGTTAATGATATAAAAAGGCTCATTTGTCCAAGTGCTTCTGAACTAATATATATTAAAATTACTGTAACGTTACCTGGGAAATGGTGGAAGTGAATACAAACATGTGTAAAGCTTTATCAGACAAACCTCTGTCCATGATCTCACTCTGTTAGTCAAAACCAGAGAACTGCTGACCAGAAAAACATTTCCAAGCTTAAAAAACATTTTTCTTTGTCACAGCTCGACTTTTTCAGCTAGTACGAAACACACGACCGCGTTTCATGATCATAACCACAGTAAATGGAAGAATTCTGGCAAAACGTGTGTATTTACAGCTATTTTAATCAGACTAATACTTTAGTATTAAAGGAATATTTCTGTGATTAAGCAGTTTCTATGTAAGAGTTAGAAATAATTACCATCTCATCAGAAAAATAGCCTTCACGTTCCATTTGATGGATGAGCTAACGGCTAGTCGGAGAGCAGAAGTCACCCAAGTGTGCTGGAAATATAAAAAATGTTTTCATTACTGTTTACTTACACCAGGAAAGATGAAATACTACTATCAGAAACACGTGTAAAAATTGCTGAAATATCCCTTTGATAAAAAGCTTTTGAAAGTCACCATTTTAGAGAAGACTGTGAAAAATGAAGGAAGGTTGAAGCTTTCTTTGAAAGTCATTGGTGCGAGTTTCCTCCACGTTGTCCTGATCTTTCCTAACAAAAAATCTTAAACTTGGTTCAAATGTAACTCATGAAGTTCAAACAGGACCGCCTTCTCACGTTTTCACAGATGTAACATCCTGGCTAGGGATACACCGATACGATACTGGTATCGGTGCCGATACAGATACTGATACCAGTATCGGTAAAAGTTAACAGATTCCAGTAACTGATACCAATGCAGTTGCTTGAAAGTGTTTTCACTGTAACTTGTCATTTCTGTTCACCTAATATTTTAGTTTTGTGATCACTTATACTACCTTTTATCTACCTCACAGTCTTTTCCTATTGAAAAAAGAAGAAAATAAAACCTGTATTCCAATTCATTGCATTTTTTTGTGTGGTAGAAGTATCTGTATCGGTAATCGGTATCGGCGAGTACTCAGATCCAAGTATCGGTATCGCATCGGTTTGGAAAAAAGTGGTATCGTTGCATCCCTAATCCTGGCCGTGACTTTATATGATTTTGATTTGATAAATGATGGTGTCGACGCTAGGCTAACATATGACAGCAGTCAATAATGAAACATGAGCCATTTGTTCTCACCCTTACCTAAAGTAAGAGTCCGATGACTGGAATAGTTTCTACTGCTACTATGGTTACATGCATAAATCCTTCATTGAGCTTGCAAGAGCTCAACATCATGAAAGTGTTTTGCAAGAAAGGAGCAGCTCCTCATAATTACGAGATACTTGATGTTTGTCATTTTGAAAAGGTTTCTTGGAACAAGGAGTTTAAATCTTGTTATGACGAGAAACGTTGGAACAATAAAATAGCAACGTTTTGCGAGATGTTTGGATCTCGTCTAGAAGAACGGAGGGAGAAGATGGAGAGTCGGTTGTTATTTCTTTGTGAAACAAACAAACCCGTTTTTGGCTGCCTTCGTGCATTTTCCTGTTTCAGATGCAAACTTTTGAGTTTTATTTTGAAAATCTTGTAAAGCGCCAGTGGAAACTAAAATATAAAAGCAAGAAATCTGCTTCAGCTGGCTAAGTAAATGACTGCTGACACCACCTACATCAACACACGGTAATGCCATGGGTAACAGGCAGATAGACGCCTTCACCACTGGACTTTCTTAAGGTGTTGTTACTAATTAAACTCGTTTCTACAAGAAACTTTTGCACTGAAAGGAGTTTAATATCTCGTTATAACGACACACTGCTCCGTAACGTTTTCAATACGCTTCTGTAAACAATGACACAGATTAAGGGTGACTATAGCATGAGCACCTGTGGGGTGTTTTTTCTGTTTACTGCAATTAAAAGTAAATTTCAAACACATTATTTCCTAAGAATGACAGTTTTAAAGCTCACTGGATTTTCTGCTGTGTAAACTTTGAGTAGTTGAGTGTTTCTGGTTTTGATGCGCGGCTGTGTCAGTGGTGATAACCCTAACCCAACGAGGATGATGGGAATGAGGTGGAGAAGCGTGCGCCAGCAGGCGGAGGAAGTGTTTGGTCAGGTGTGATGTGTGATAAAAGGGTTACAGCAAGAATGAAAGGAAAGGTGTAGAAGAAGGTAGTGAGACCGGCCTTCTTGTCTAGCTTTGACATTTTCATGGGGAAAAGACAGGAGACACTACGGGAGGTTGCAGAGCTCAACATGTTACGGTTCTCTTTGGGAGTGAGGAGCATGGATAGGATCAGGAACGAGTCCACCAGAGGGACAGCTCATGCTAGTTCAGGTAAAACGTCTGATGACATTCATACAGAAAGCGCACCGTTTGCACTACACAATCTATTGGGCCATTCCCATCTGTACCGGGTCGGCCCGGGCCGGGTAGCATAGGTTGTTTACATATCTGGGTGGCCTGGTATTTTTCTGGGCCAACCAAGGCTCATTCTCAGCCCTCTTCTCGAGGAGGTCTTCTTCAGGCCGACCAGGGCCAACACACCCACTGCTGACAGCAAATTCACACCTTCCATTAGAGCAAGCCTCTGATTGGTGGGTAGAATCAGCCCACATGGGCTTAAGACAAGGATGTGTGGAATCAACCGGGCCAGACTGGGGCCGACTGGGGCTACCCGGCCCGGGCCGACCCGGTACAGATGGGAATGGCCCATAAGATGACTCACACCTATGCTTGTGTCATTTTGCATGTATAACTTAATACTTAAATAAAAACACGAGCACGTTATTTTCCTGGAAAAGTGCCAATATGACTCCATGATCATCCCCATCTTTGGTCTGTGATCAGAACAGTTTGGGACGTAACGTTCAGTTCACTCCCGTTCTGTTTACAGCAGGGTGTTGGACATGTTACTGTTCTGCCAGCGCAGACATGTGGTCTTCGAGTGCTTGTACAGGTGTGACGACTGACTGAAGCGTTTCCCACACTTGAGACACGCGTAGGGCTTCTCTCCCGTGTGGACGCGGATGTGTTTCTTGCAGTCTGTCAGGGTGAGGAAGGTTTTGCAGCAGATCTTGCAGGCGTACTTCCGCGCCCCCTCCACCACCAGGACATTGTGCTCTGAGAGAGCTTTCTTGCACTTGGACAGGACGTCTGCTGAGGCGCGCGTGAGCTGAGGCGGGAGAGAGGTGGGCCGTCCACCGCTCACCTCGTACCCTCCGCCCTCGTTGAGAAGCAGTGGGCTGGCGAGACTCGAGGAGGAGGAGGAGGATGCAGCATCCTGAAGAACTCCACTTACTCCTTCTTCTCCTCTCATGCCGGTGGCCATTTTTGGAGCGATGCGTCTGTAGCTCGGGTAACCCAGGAAGGCGGCACCTCCTGTTCCTCTTGCGGGACGCCCCAGCGAGTGAAGACCCAGGCTGGAGCGCTGGAAGTCCAAGCCAAAGGGATCAACCCCTCCACGCCCTCCAACCATAGTCCCTCCATTTCCTCTGGGGTTTCCTAAACCATCATGCAGGGGGCGGAGGAAGAGAGGATCAGCTTCCCCAAAGCTGTTTCTTCCCTCACTGAGTGGAACCGACTGCAGGAGAGAGGAGGAAGTAGAACTGGATGGTCCAGCACCATCCTGCCTCAGCAGAAAGTGATGAGAAACAGCGTCCCTGGTTGTTGTGTTGGGAAGAGCATCCTCTCCAGTAACCATTCCAGACCTGCTGCTACTAAAGTCCTTCTGTCCCAGGAAACTGGAAATGTTGAAACTAGATTTGCCACCCAGCCCATTATTACAGCCAAAATCTCCAGCCACGCCGCCATCGCCTCCTCCGCCCATGCTGTTCTTGAGGGGGAGTTGAGAGCTGGGCTGGGGTTCAGAGGTGAAGCTGCGGTCGCTGCTTTCAGGGCTCAGCTCCACCTTCTCTTCCTCTTCCTGACAGCCCGGCTCGGCCGGGTCACTGCCTTCTGCCTGAGACGTCACGTCGCTGTTTTCATCTGCTGGCTCGGGGGAACTCAGGGGCTCCCTCTTAATCATCACCTACAGAACGCCAAAGAAAGTTGTTGCAGGTCAAAATAACGAAATTAGCTTTGACAGTAAATCACACTGCACACTTATTACAGAATGTTCTTTTTACCTTCTGCTCTTCTTCTTCAGCCTCCTCTTCTGCACCTGATTTGATCTTAACCCCCCCTCTTTCATCCTTATGATCCTCATCCCCCATTTCCTCCTCCTTACTCACTCCTCCATGCATTCGCCCGTGGTTCTCCTCCTCACAGTGCCCGCTGTCCGACTGGCTCGGCATCTGAGGGTCTTCTTGAGGAACCGCTAACCCTGCGATGGCAGCATCCAGCTTGGATTCATCCCCCATCTTGTGAGAGTCAGGAGAGAAGAGCGCCCCCTCCTCTCGTACAGCACCCCCTCCCTCCTCTACTAGCAGTCCCAGGTTAGGGGCAGGGAGCCGCTGCCTCTGTCTTGGTCTCTCCTCTGAAAGTCCCATCGCTAGCGAGGGCTTGCGTTTGTGAAAGCGTCGGACAGGGAAGGAGGCCCTCTGTTCCACCACCCTACTACCCACTCCGTCCTCCTCCATCCCCCCCAGTGCAGAGCTCACCAAGCTGAGCCCCAGCTGCTGCAGCAGAAAGGAACGCTGCAGCTTGGATGAGGCAGAGCTGCCTGCAAGGTTAGAATTCGCTGGCAGAGTTGGGTTCACCAAATCTGCTGCCTGCTGCTGCCTGTGCCTTTGCTGCTCCTGCTGAGGGTGGTGGCTGGACGAGGGAGACATGGGCAACGTACGAGTGGTCAGGTAGTGTTTGCAGGCCTTGACAACATTGTTCAAGTGCAGATGAGAAGCAGCGAGGAGAATATCCATGACGTTGCTCTCCCCCAGCATCAGTGTTGACGTGTACATCATGTCCACCAGAGCGGCAAACGCTTCTGCTGTCACCACCTGCAGACACACAGACGTTATCACCATATTATCCCTACGAAACCGAGACACTGTTGGCAAATTCCAAACCTCGCTGTCCAGCTGGATCATATTCATGCTGGCATCGCCCTCTGCGACAGTGAACAGTGCTCTGAAGTGGGTGCTGCAGGCCGCGAGTACAGAGCGGTGGGCTTTAAAGTGTCGGCTGCCGACAACGATGACGCAGTCACACAGCTGGCCGTGCACACGCTGATAGTTGAGCTGTTGGAAGATCTGCTCAAAGTGACCTGGGAAATCCATAGCTCTGCAAACAAGCAGACCATGAAAATCAGATGGCATAAAACAATTTGCATGGCTGGAATATCAGCAAATATTATAGTGAAGCTTCTTCAGTTGTAAGATTTGCTGCTTGGTTTGGTTTAGTGTTTGTACACTGACTTTTTCTAAACTTTTCCCACTCGACGAACATTATACAAGCCTGTCAGGGTCCCCTGATACATTATGAGATTGAGATTAAGTGAGTAAAGCTACAAACTAAAGAGACTAGTGAGATTTGTCTTTAAATAACTTGTTAAGCAGGCTCCTCGAGGGTCTAAATAGTTCCAGTTTAATAATTTAACAGCAGCTTTAGCTGTGGATGTTACAACTAGGCGATCCATGATAAAATAACTCCCAGCAGTCTGAGTAAGGTGGATGTTACCATTAGCTCCACTGATAACACAGTAGCTCTTCACCGCTAGCTAACTCCAGTACAATTATAGGTAACTACTTTGCTATTTCAGAGCAAGTGAATAGGCGACAAATCCAACATTACCTTCACTTTTACCAAAATGTTGATATCAAAAGACAACGTGGTCCTTAGCAGTAGCTGGAGATGCTAAATGTAGCTAGCTGCCCAGTAGAGCCTGCTAACTACGGTACAACTAGCGGCAGCATTTGGTCCTCCGAGAATGACCCGTTTAATGGACTGAAATCCCTTTTCTCCCCACAAAATGTCCACTCAAATTCAGCAACCGTAAGCTAACATTTCCTTCCTTCGTCCAACAACACCGGTGGTGCACCTTACGGGTTGTCCGTATTATCTGGATGTTTAGACCGGTGGTTTAAACACGAATATCACGAATTTAACTACCGCCTAAGGTCATAATAACGGGCATCAATACTACCGGATGTTAAAAACATGCACCATGCTATTTTTAATAATTTCTGATCACTCAGACGGCTTTTCAAAGCAGACTCACAAGGTGGCGCTGTGCTTCTCGTCCATGCTGACCTCGAAGAGGACTTATTAGTTGTAGTTTTGTGTTCCCGCCACTGGATGCCGCTGCGTCAACGATCCAAAGATTACTTGCTTGTCGTGTCAAGATGGTAATCATCCCGCTATGAAGACAAAACAGAAGGGAATCATATTTCCAGAAAAAATGTTAAATAACCTGATGTGCTCCTGAAACTTACTGTAACTGTTGATAATCCAATGGCAGAATCGACTGATTACCTCAAAATCCCCTAACACTGAGTCAAACACAGGGAGTAGGTCTACATATATTCCATATTTCAAACGAATGAAAATACATTGAGATTTCATAGAAGAGCAGTATTAGATCAGTTTGCAGAGGTGGAAAGAGTACTAAAATTTCCTACTTAAGTACGAGTACCAGTACTTTGATAATTTTTTACTCAAGTACAAGTAAAAGTACTTGCCTAAATTTTTACTCAAGTAAAAGTAAAAAGTACCATAAATAAAATGTACTCAAAGTAAAAGTTACTTAGTTACATTTTTGTCAGCGTAAAGATGGTTACATCAGTGCTAAACCACAACACCAGTTCACAACACGCTCGTGTGTGCACGCACACACACGGACACACAGTTTGATGGAAGGATTTCTATCCAGTCAGTGAGAACCGGACGTGCACATTGATTGGACGAGGTTTTTCTAGGATTGTACATTTCAATTGTGATTACAATTCATCTTTATTTTGAAAAAAAAAAGTTAATTTTTAGATGCCATCAGCATGTGAGGTATCTCAATGTTCTCATGACAAAACTCTAACATGAGACTGTGCTCTAACCTGTCACATAACAAGCTAAATGAAAGTCTGGCATGTACACACACTTACACACACACCATCGACATTAATACCTGACTCCACTTAATCATGCTATTTGTGAAGATTTTTTACACTTTTTTATTGAGAAGGTTTCCTCAACAAGGGCTCAAATCTGTCCTTGTGCTCATGACCCCTCAGTCTTTGTTTCCTGCTCTGCTGTCTTTGGCAGGTTTGAGCCAGTGACCCTGTCCATTATAACGGAGACTGTTGGTCGTCTTAAGCCTGCAGGGTCTCCAAATGATGCTGTTCCTCCTCGACTTTTAAAAGAGGTGTTACCTACAGTTGGGCCTCTGGTTCTTGAGCTGGTAAACCATAGTCTGATGTCAGGCGTTGTCCCTAAAGATTTTAAACATGCAGTAGTCAAACCCCTGATTAAAAAACCTGCTCTTGATCCACAGGATCTTGCGAATTACAGGCCTATCTCCATACTAAGCAAGCACGGCTGTCGGTCTGTGCTTCCGCATTTCACGGGTAAATTGGAGAAGGCATGAGTATACCGTACTCCCTCTTGTGGCTATTTGGTGGTGTTACAACTGGCTGGCTAAATCTTGTCTGACTGGCAAGAGTGATTAAATAAACATCTGCAACATAAAACCCGTTATTAAAAATAATATTTTGATGTGTTTGTGTCACACGTTGACACATTTCTCAACATTTTCTACTGAATAACTTTTGAAAACAGTTCTTGCAAAGATGCAACTCATGTTTAGGAGCATGGAAACAACTAAAACATGGTGGAAAGGGAATGTCGAGGACCAGAACCAGGTCTGAATTATTCACAATGTTTGTTTTTAGCTTAAAAGTAAAACTAAAACACAGCTGTGTTTCAAGGCCTTGAGGAGCAACAAAAGATGCTCCTAAAACCGTCCAAATTTATTGCAACATTTTTTCTTAACATTACAATCCAAGCATCTCCAGTTCACATGGATGATATTCAGACCGGCACAGAAAGCACCTCAAGTTCAACTATATTGGCAGAAGGAGCAAGTCATTCATTGCACTCCACAACCACATTGAATCAATAGTTTTATTGTCATTGTTTTAATAAAGGTGTAGCATGAAAAAAAACATGGAGGATAATAGTAATTAAGTGACTATTTTTAGAAACTTCAAACCAAAACAACCCATGACTGGTAACAAGTTTAAGTCAACTCTGGAAAAGAATTTACCGTAAATCCTCTAATACAGGCCCGGGCCTGTATTTGACTCAAGCTCATCAAGCTCCAGGCCTTTATTGGAAGGAGGACCAGAATTAGAGGCAGGCCTCTATTTCTATTTGAGCAAAATGAACTAATGGTTCGCTGGAGTTTTTGACAATTAAAATTGCGCCCACATTTTCAAAGTTAAACACATTTCTTTTAACAACTGTAGTTTCTGCTTCAGCCCTCTCCCCCCTCCCCCTGCGCAGCGGCCGCAAACTCACTGATGCACCTGCAGCCTCTCGGAGTTCCTGCTGCTCTAAACATTAAAATAATTATTTCATTTTCTGTTCCTCACTTCTGATTACCTTCAGTGGTGTCTGTTTGTTGCAACCAGCAGGTACAAAAACTAACTTGTTTTTATTTGACTATTTTTCTGTCCTGCCTGTTTATTATCTTCCTGCATCTCCTCTCAATCTTAAAGAGAAACTGCTACCTGGGTTCATATATATTCACCTCATGAGTTACCTTTGAACTGCAGTTCTAAAAGATCTACCGACCGCAAAAACAGCGGAGTGCCGCTGCTCACCGGCCGACTACAATGGGACCGTTTTTGCTGCGGAGTTCGTGCCAGAGCGGAGCGGAGATAGTGGAATTTTGGGGGTGTGTCAAAACAGGTGATGCGCCTCGCTCCGCAGCAGCGAAACACATCAGGCACAAATAACCGACAGAAAACATTAAAGGAAATGAGCCGACATGAACAATCGCATGTTTATTTTGTTTTTGAGGTGGTGACACCTGATTTGGCGGTGCTCAGGACGCAGATGTCAGGAGCGCGTCAATGATCAGAGCTTTGCATGCGCAAGCTGGTTAAGATTAGGATGGGGGTGAGGGGAAGGTTAAATTACAAGAGGGAAAAGGTCACAGTTTGGTTAAATATCCGTTTTACCGCCGGTGTCAGTACCGACGCCCTGGCACAGCGCATCGCCTCCGTCTCCCGACGCGCAGAGGCTCATCACCTGCTGTCTTTTCCGAGGACTGCATCTTGTCAGTCATTATCACGTGACAGCGACTAGTCGATGACAGGCATAAAAAGTCACTACAGAGCCGTGAAGTCAACTAGTCGACTAGTTCATACAACCCCTAGTGAGTACAGCAGCGCACAGATTGAGATCAGCATCAGCAGTTTTGGTAATGATGGTTTTCGACTCGTCAGGAGCGCCAAGCTCTTCCACCATTTTGGAGACGCCAAAGGTAAGAAGGGCAATGTTATTTCCTGCAACGCCGGTCTGGAAGACGCACTGGTGTGCGCAATCGGTGAGCCGCGCCAGCAGATGGTCATGCTCAGAAGCGGGAACTGCTCGCTGGCCATCGAGGTGGTTCTTGGCGCCAAACAGCGAGGCCAAGTCCGGCTCCAGTGGAGGAACGGTTGGCCAGCCCTGGTCGGAGAAGCCCTCGACTTTGGTAATGGGCGCATATATGGAAATTGGCGCTTTGAGCTTAGCAGGCTTGGAGAAGGCGGCGGACCAGCAGCTCATGGCAGCGGGGAAGCACGGCCAGATGGGGTCTGGACAGCGTGTTTGTGTAGCCCCAAAAATTCCCGCCAAATCATCTGTTTCAGGCGGAGCCGGTTCTGGCACGGCTAGCCCCCTGCGGACCACAGCCGCGGAGATGATGGCAGGTAGCTCCTGGAGCAGTGCTCTAACTGCTGGCAGGGAGGAGCGAGAAGGCACTGGAGCAGAGGAACCCGCTGAGGGAGGCTCGTCGACCTCCGTGTAGTCCAGGAGGGAATAATCACAAGCTTGCGTTGTCCGTCTCGTTAAACGAATGTTTAAAAAAGTGGGCTCGACTCTGTGCGTACTTGCGTGCCTGCTGGGGCCCTACGCAAGGACGGGTAATGGAGTTGCGTGTCTCCGCACTGACGCAGGATTGTACGTTTCAATTGTGATTAAAATTAATCTTTATTTTGAAAAGAAAAAAGTTAAATTTTAGATGCCATCATCATGTGAGGTATATCAATGTTCTCATGACAAAACTCTAACATGAGACTGTGCTCTAACCTGTCACATAACAAGCTAAATGAAAGTCTGCCATGTACATACACACACACACACACACACACACACACACACACACACACACACACACACACACACACACACACACACACACACACACACACACACGCGCGCGCTTCATGACTAATTCAGCTACACTGTACTGCTTGTGTAATAATTTAATCTCTTATACTGGAGCAAAATAAAGAAACAAGCTAAATCATCACATATCTGTGGCATCAAGAAGCAACGTTTAGATGCGGCGCTCATGCAGGTGCCTCTCTCTGTTCCGATGCTGCTACACGTAATATTTTTAATTTATTAAGCCTAAAATTTATTTTTACTCAGTAACGGATATGATTTAAAATGTAGCGAATTACAATTCTTTTTTAAAAATGTACTCAAGTAAAAGTAAAAGTACACATTTTAAAAATGACTTAAAAAGTATAAATATACAAAAAAGCTACTCAATTACAGTAACGTGAGTAAAAGTAATTAATTACTGTCCACCTCTGTCAGTTTCTGGAATTAGCATTTGTCTCAACATTTCGACTTTATTGTAGTGATACTTTTTGTTAATATTTTGACAAATTCTTTTAAATGTTTATTTTAATCCTGACAATGGTCAAATTTTCTTCTGATTGGCACGCTTTATGTTAATTCACAAAATTGTCTAAAATTTAAAATATTATGATTTATATTTTAGCATAAAAGAAGACAAAAAAAAAGCAGCTTTCGCCTAAATATTTATATTATATGTAAATCACAAATCGCAAGAAACTCTTTCAGCGAATCCGGAAGTGTAGAGCCGAGACCCATCTCTTGTGTCAAAACTCAAAACTGTCATGGCTGCCTCCTGCTCGCTAGTGTGCTGCGGTGAGGAGAGTGAAAGCGACAAAGCCTTAGTTGGTAATTATTTGTTCTTTTCTTGTCCAAACATTATTTCAGGTGTAATATTGAAATATGTATGTTTATCGGGCCTCGGTGCGCTTCTTAAACGGCCTTATGAACGCATGCGTGGCTGCTCGTCAGCGTAGCCACGTTATAGACGAGGCTGAAGTTTGCTCACGATTCCAGATGCTGAAAAAAAAAACCCCGCATAAATCATGCTTTGCTGAAGTTTCACAAATCAGGAACAGGTTTCACAAATCCCAAACAAGGTTGTATGCAATCTGCTATTATTATAGACTAATCTAGAACAGGTTTGAACAGTGTGGCTGTTGTAGTTTTTGAGCTAGAGCAGATTAAAGATGGTCAGAGTAGAGAAAAATTGGGTGTATTGGCCCTTTAGCGGTTTCCCCGAATCGGAAGCTGGAATCGGAAACTGACTTCAGCCTTGTCGTTATAGCTAGTACTGAGTTGTGTTTTTATCGAGTTCGTCTCACATGTAGCACGAGTCAGGTAACACAACTTTCGTTCTGCGCCTCATTTACAGTCCAGTTTTCAAATGGCAGCGTGAAAGATGCAGACAAGCTGGACTTCAGCGTGTACAAGCATGTCGATGAAATTAACCCGAGGAAGAAGAACAGAAAGATTCTGGTGAGGAAGATGATGTCTGCGACCTTCTGACCTTTCTCCCATTGATTTAAAGCTGTCTAGATAAACATGTAGTTGGTGAGATTATTATATGAAGGATGCTTTATTAGTATTTTCATTTTAAAGACAAAGAAAAAAAATTTTGTAAAGAAAAATCAAAAACCTATTTTTCTGTTAATGCCCCATTTAAAAAACACTTTACTGTTCGAAGGATCTTTCATGGAGGTTAAAACGAAGAGTCGGAGTACCCGGCCCGGAGGGTTACCGGGGTCCCACCCTGGAGCCAGGCCTGGGGTTGGGGCCCGTGAGCGAGCGCCTGGTGGCCGGGCTTTCGCCCATGGGGCCCGGCCGGGCCCAGCCCGAACCGGATACATGGGCTCGTCCAACTGTGGACCCACCACCCGCAGGAGGAACATGAAGGGTCCGGTGCAATGCGAATCGGGTGGCAGACCAAGGCGGGAGCCTTGGCGGTCCAATCCCCGGACAAGAAAACTAGTTTTTGGGACATGGAACGTCACCTCGCTGGCGGGGAAGGAGCCGGAGCTTGTGGCAGAGGTTGAGCGGTACCGGCTAGATATAGTCGGACTCACCTCGACACATTGCATTGGCTCTGGAACCCGAGACCTGGAGAGGGGTTGGACACTCTACTTTGCTGGAGTTGCTCCGGGTGAGAGGCGGAGGGCTGGGGTTGGCTTTTTGTTAGCCCCGAGACTCTCTGCCTGTGTGTTGGGGTTTACCCCGGGGGACAAGAGGGTAGCTTCCTTGCGCCTTCGGGTCGGGGAACGGGTCCTGACTGTTGTTTGTGCTTATGGGCCAAATATCAGTTCAGAGTACCCACCCTTTTTGGAGTTCCTGGGACGAGTGCTAGATAGTGCTCCATCAGGGGACTCCATTGTCCTGCTGGGGGACTTCAATGCTCACGTGGGCAATGACAGCTTGACCTGGAGGGGTGTGATTGGGAGGAACGGCCCACCTAATCTGAACTCGAGCGGTGTTTTGTTATTGGACTTCTGTGCAAGCCGCAGTTTGGCCATAACGAACACCATGTTCGAACATAAGGAGGCCCACCGGTACACTTGGTACCAGGGCAGCCTAGGTCACAGGTCGATGATAGATTTTGTAGTCGTATCATCTGACCTGCGGCCATATGTTTTGGACACCCGAGTGAAGAGAGGGGCGGAGCTGTCAACTGATCACCACCTGGTGGTGAGTTGGATCAGATGGCAAGGGAACATGCCGCGTAGACCTGCCAGACCCAAACGCATAGTGAGGGTCTGCTGGGACGCCTGGCAGAAGAACCTGTCAAGACGGTCTTCAACTCCCACCTCCGGCAGAGCTTCGACCACGTCCCGAGAGCAGTGGGGGACATTGAGTCCGAGTGGGCCTTGTTCCACTCTGCGATTGTCGAGGCGGCTGTTGCTAGCTGTGGTCGTAAGGTGGCCGGTGCCAGTCGTGGTGGCAACCCCCGTACCCGCTGGTGGACACCAGAGGTTCGGGGAGCCGTCAGGCTGAAGAAGGAGGCCTACAGGGCGTGGCTGGTCTGTGGGTCTCCGGAGGCAGCAGACAGGTACCGGATAGCCAAGCGGGGTGCAGCAGTGGCAGTTGCCGAGGCAAAATCTCGGGCGTGGGAGAAGTTTGGTGAGGCCATGGAGAAAGACTATCGATCGGCTCCAAAGAGGTTCTGGCAAACTGTCCGGCGCCTCAGGAGAGGAAGGCAGCAACTCGCTCACACTGTTTACAGTGGGGATGGGGAGCTGCTGACGTCAACTGAGGCTATAGTCGGACGGTGGAAGGAATACTTTGAGGAGCTCCTCAATCCCACCAATGCGCATTCCGAGGAGGAACCAGAGCTGGGAGGCCTGGGGATGGACTGTCCGATCTCGGGGGCAGAATTTGCTGAGGTAGTCAAACAACTACACAGCGGCGGAGCCCCGGGGGCGGATGAGGTCCGTCCTGGGTATCTCAAGGCTATGGATGTTGTAGGGCTGTCATGGTTGACACGTCTCTACAACATTGCGTGGTCATCGGGGGCAGTTCCTAGGGAGTGGCAGACCGGGGTGGTGGTACCCATCTTTAAGAAGGGTGACCTGAGGGTGTGTTCCAACTATAGGGGGATCACACTCCTCAGCCTCCCTGGAAAGGTCTACTCCAAGGTACTGGAGAGGAGGGTCCGATCGATAGTTGAATCTCAGATAGAGGAGGAGCAATGTGGTTTTCGTCCTGGCCGTGGAACTGTGGACCAGCTCTATACCCTTGCAAGGGTGATGGAGGGGGCATGGGAGTTTGCCCAACCAATCCACATGTGTTTTGTGGATTTGGAGAAGGCTTATGACCGTGTCCCCAGGGGCACCCTGTGGGGGACGCTCCAGGAGTATGGGGTGGGTGGCTTTCTGTTAAGGGCCATTCAGTCCCTTTACCAGAGGAGCGTGAGTTTGGTCCGCATAGCCGGTAGTAAGTCTGACCTGTTCCCAGTGAGGGTTGGACTCCGCCAGGGCTGCCCTTTGTCACCGATTCTGTTCATCACTTTTATGGACAGAATTTCTAGACGCAGCCGTGGTGTGGAGTGTGTCGAGTTTGGTGGCAGGAGAATCTCGTCTCTGCTTTTTGCGGATGATGTGGTCCTCCTAGCTTCATCCAGCTCCGACCTTCAGCTCTTGCTGGGTAGGTTCGCGGCTGAATGTGAAGCGGCTGGGATGAGGATCAGCACCTCCAAATCTGAGACCATGGTTCTCGACCGGGAAAGGGTGGCTTGCCAACTCTGGGTCGGGGGAGTGGTCCTACCTCAAGTGGAGGAGTTTAAGTATCTCGGGGTCTTGTTCACGAGTGAGGGTAGGAGGGATCGAGAGATCGACAGGCGGATTGGTTCGGCGTCTGCAGTGATGCGGACGCTGAGCCGATCTGTCGTGGGGAAGAGGGAGCTGAGCCAGAAAGCCAGGCTCTCGATTTACCGGTCGATCTACGTCCCAATCCTCACCTATGGTCATGAGCTTTGGGTAATGACCGAAAGAACGAGATCGCGGATACAAGCGGCCGAAATGAGTTTCCTCCGTAGGGTGGCCGGGCTCAGCCTTAGAGATAGGGTGAGGAGCTCGGACATTCGGGAGGGACTCGGAGTAGAACCGCTGCTCCTCCGGATCGAAAGGAGCCAGTTAAGGTGGTTTGGGCATCTGGTCAGGATGCCTCCTGGACGCCTCCCCGGGGAGGTGTTTCGGGCATGTCCTGCCGGCAGAAGGCCCCCGGGGCGACCCAGGACACGTTGGAGAGGTTACATCTCCAATCTGGTCCGGGAACGCCTTGGGGTCCTGCCGGAGGAGCTGGTGGACAAGGCCGGGGAGAGGACGGCCTGGAGCTCCCTAGTTGGGATGCTGCCCCCGCGACCCGGACCCGGATAAGCGGAGGAAGACGACGACGACGACGACTTTACTGTTCACTTTTGTGGAAATGATGAAACAAAATGACCAATTTGTTTATATCAGTGTCAGTTTAATTCCATATTTGCATGATTTGAGGAGAAAACAGCCAGAATTTATGCTTTGTGTTGTAGCAATGAAGATAACGCATCACATGTTGTCTCAGATCTCTGCAGGGGTGTTTTCTGTGTAATCTTTGGGCTGCTGCCATACGCTCACCTTGTCCTGTTTTCCTCTGTAAGGTTGCTGAATCCGACCGCCTGTGTTATGTTGGGCAGAATTTTGGAAACGGAGCACTGAAATGCAACAACGTCTGCAAGTAAGCATCGGTTTCATGTCTTAGCTGCTGTTGCGTGTGAGTGGGACTAATAAGCTTGATGTTTCCCAGATATTATGTTGGAGTCCTGAACAAACAGACCATGCAGATGGAAGTGCACAGCGCACAGCTGTTCAGCATGCAGCCTGTCATACCAGGTACAAACAGTTCTTTGGTACAGCTCCTCTTAAATAAACAGCAGCCACTGATCTGAACCTGTTCCACCAGGAGAGACAGTCGAGGCTCCAAAACCTCAGGACAGTACTCTGTCCTACAGGGAAAAGGTAAAAGGCTGCTCTTTTTTTTAGATATGAGAGATGAGAAGCAGAAATTACGTTTGCATCATTTTTGTTTTCTTCAGGTCGATTCTTTGATTGAAGCTTTTGGCACCAATAAACAGAAGCGAGCTCTGACCTCTCGCAGGCTAAATCAGGTGGGCAGCGATACTCTGCAACAGGCTGTGGCTAAAGCTGCAAGCTCTGTCATCGACAAGAAGGGTCTGGAAGGTAAACTCAACAGTTACTTGGGATGAAAACATCAGTTTAAAACAGCTTTCAGTAAAGTTTTTTTTATGACGATTGTTGTTGACCTTTTTTCAGCGCTTCAGCAGGAAGTGGCTGAGACTGAGTCCCAGGGAGCTCTGGCATCCCACCTGCCTCCCTGCAACGCAGACGCGGAGAAACGAGAGGACGTCTACCCGTTCGATGAACGTATCTTTGATTTGATTCTTCTGTGTGAAAGTAAAAATGTTCGGAACGTGGTTATATGTGTAGAAGAGCTGGATTCCACCCTAACTGAGTCAAAATAGTCCTGAGACCAGAAGAGTTTGCTGCGTTACAACAGGCTGGCTCAAAGATGGCAGCGCTCACAGCTGAGGAGCTGAAGAAGATGCGCGATGAAGGAGGGTGAGAAAAGTCAACGCTCACACTTGTTTTATCCAGCGGTGTTTTCTTGTATTCTGATGTGTTTAATCTTCCTCCTGAAGGTTTCTTTGTGTTGTCAAGCATCTAGAGAGCTTGCCACCAGCGGGTGAAGCTAGAGAGAAAGTGGCACGCTGTGCCTTTTACCTCTCTCTGCTCTTCAAACTGGCTCGACAGAAAAACATCAGCCGGAAGTGTGAGTGTTTCGGTTTTTCTTCATCAAATATGAATCAAACTGAACGAAGTTTAACAATCAGGTTTGGTCGGGCAGGAAATATTCTCTCATGGTTCCAAATACTGAGAACATGGCAGCTACTTAATTCTTTTATTACCACAACAAACAGTCAAAAGCAGGTAGTTTAGTAATAAAAATGTAATGGAAGCATGATTGTGGATTTGGCGGCGGTCCCCAAACCCGCTGGTGGACACCTGACGGTTAGGGATGCTGTCAAGCTGAAGAAAGAGTCCTCTTGGGTCTTTTACTGTGGGACTCCGGAGGGAGCTGACAGATACCGACAGCCCAACTGGAATGCAGCTAGAGTAGTTGCAGCGGTAAAAGTCTAGGCGTGGGAGGAGTTCGGTGAGACCATGGAGCAAGACTTCTTGGGAGATGGTGTGCTGCTGACCTCTACTCGGGAAATTGTAGATCTGTGAGCGCAGTATTTCGAAGACCTCCTCAATCCCACCGGCATGTCTCCCAGTGAGGAAGCAGAGTCTGGACTTCTGCTATGTGGTGGAGTTAAGTCATTCACTGCCAGCCGTTTCCTGATCAGAAAAGCCCTTCGCTGCCAGCATTTTTCAGAGCTTTCACTTTTTTTAAGAGCCACAGAACAATGCGCGCTATGATGATGTCAACTCCAAAACAACCAAAACAAAGCGGAGACTCACCTCTTACATCAGGTAGAATCCACGCATTTTGAGCGTTATCCGTTCTTTCATAATCTGTTGTTGAATTGTGATCGGCAGAAGCTTTTCCGGTTCGCGCCTCACTTTTTTTTACAGCAGCGGCCCAAAACGATCTCCTAACACATGGATGTTCTGCTTCCTGATCACGTGACGTGTGACATACGTGGATGAAGATCAGCTTTAGAGCTGTGTGGGGGCTCGTCCGACGCCCACACAGTAAAAACATGCAAATGATGACTTTAGTCGTCAATGGCAGTGTATGAGTTAATGCTAATGGTTAGCTTCTACTAGCTGAGACGTTCTCTGCTGTTTCCTGGACACTAAACCAACAACAGCCTTCAACGTCGTGAGGCAACATGGGTGAGTCCATGAATAATAAGTGACGGTGTGACGCAGATCTGTCGGGATTTTCAAATCCTAGTTTCAATGTCTACTTTCTGTCAGAAACTAATGCAGGAGATAGGTGTAGGAGACTATTTTCATGTTCAGTCTTCATGAAAAACTCAGTGACTGAATATAATCAGAAGTCATTTTAAAAGGGGTTTTCTGTGTTCCACACCTTTTACTGTGATGTAGCCACTGGCGAGGCAATAAACGATCTTAAAGCTCCCAGACTTATCTGTGCCTATGGTAACAAGGCTGGCCGTGTTTTGTTGAAAGAGGTGGGACAGAATCTTACTTAAAAGCAGAAATAGTCGAGTCAAAGCCCGAAACCCCTCATCACCAAGCCTGGGTTTTACCAGCAGTTCACGTATTACGATAAGTTTAATGATCATTTTCAACACATTTGATAATGTATAATATTAAACATTGAGCTCTATTATTGTCTATTGGATGTGTGTGTGTGTGTATACAGTTGGGCAGGAGGAGGGCTGTCCTCGGATCATTCAGACGAAGCTGCTCAAAACTTTTAGTGTTGAAACTTTCAACAATGGCAGGTATGAAGGTGATTCTGAATGTTGAGCATCAATTTTTAAACCAGGTGTTTGAAACCAACTTTGACATTGATATTATTATTCCCCTTCTAGGATCCAGAACTTTGTGTCAACATCAATGCGGGCCAAAATAGCAGCATACAGCCTGGCTCTGCTGCTGCATATGGGTCACATGACTGCTGACCTCTCCTTACTTCACCGTGACCTCGGAATCACCGAGGCTAAGTGAGCAGACTTAGATCTATGTTGTCGTTCTTTTTTAAAACACAGAAACGGTTTCGTTTACCTGTTATTGACGCTACAGTTTCGCCGACGGCTGCCGGCTTCTTCAGGCTGACGCTGATGGTGGCGCGTCACTTCCTTCTCCGTTTATCTGCGGGCAGTAGAGGACGTTGTCGCCCTCTACTGCCCGCTCTCCCCTCTCCGACGATGCAGAAGAAGCAGAAAGTACAATAAAGAAGTCAGCCGTAACAGATCATTGCTTAAGAGAAAACCATGTAATGGACTGGGACAACACACGGATCATAACCACTGAACAACAAAAATACAAAATATGGATCAAGGAAGCAATCGAGATAAGGAGACGTGGATGTGGGACCACGAACAGGGACGACGGAGTTTACACGCTGGACCACGCATGGGACTGCATCGTCGGAGAGGGGAGAGCGGGCAGTAGAGGGCGACAACGTCCTCTGCTGCCCGCAGATAAACGGAGAAGGAAGTGACGCGCCACCATCATCGTCAGCTCTGAAGAAGCCGGCAGCCGTCGGCGAAACTGTAGCTACTAACAGGTAACAAAACCGTTTCTGTGTTTTATAAAAGAACGACAACATGGAATTAGAAATAACGCACAGCAAGAACACACCTAAGATGTTCAAAGACTTAGAACTGTTTGCAACGTTCTGACTTTTATTGTGCACCTATATAACTCCACTCCTTCGTTCTAATGTCACAGAGTGTCTGTGAGGTGTTCTACATGAATTCTGCTCGCTGAAATGTTGTTTCCTTACAGGATGATCGAAGTTGCAAAGTCAATGCGACTGTCTTTGACCAAACCGTCCCGGCTAAAAGGCGACGAGGTAGAAATGAGCCAGGAAAACAAGCAAGCCTCCGTTGTTCTGCCTCTGGTCAAATACGAGTCGTTCACCCAGAGACGGAAACGCAAGAAAATGCACTGAAGACCGCGAGAAACCACAGACTTACAGTTTATTCATGTGTTTTGTAGACAAATAAAGTTGTTACATGATGTTTTTTATTTTTGTCAAAAATACAAAAAGGAAAACGCCTAAGAAGCTGTAAACCTCAAGACGACAGAATATTCAGTTTCAACGTAGAGGCACATTTGTAGACATGACATATTGCACAATTAACATGGATTCCCTCCTGTCTGGTTACCAATGGGCCATTCCCATCTGTACCGGGTCGGCCCGGGCCGGGTAGCGTAGGTTGTTTACATATCTGGGTGGCCTGGGATTTTTCCGGGCCAACCAAGGCTCATTCTCAGCCCTCTTCTCGAGGAGGTCTGCTTCAGGCCGACCAGGGCCAACACACCCACTGCTGACAGCAAATTCACACCTTCCATTAGAGCAAGCCTCTGATTGGTGGGTAGAATCAGCCCACATGGGCTTAAGGCAAGGATGTGTGGAATCAACCGGGCCAGGCTGGGGCTGACTGGGGCTACCCGGCCCGGGCCGACCCGGTACAGATGGGAATGGCCCACAAGTGAGTCACCATGCAGCGCATCAACGCCATCTTCAACAATAACAATCCCATTAAAATGAGCCGAAGCTGAAACCTGCTTTCTGTCCCGACCCACCTGGAGACAACTCTGTGCACGAGGCATAAACTTCGTTTTGCCTTTTTTTTTTTTTTATTGCATAGATTTTAAACGATCAACACCCCTATTGTGGCTACAGTAGTTCATTTCTGAAGTAAAAAAAAGGCACAATGTGACTTCCTGAAGCCTTGGACTCCTGCTCGGGTTTGTGAATGTGCATATGCTAAACCAGAAAATCTCAGGAACAATCCAAAGTCACTCTGAAAAAGAACATTTTAGCGTAACGCCTGTGAGAGACTACAAGAGGACTCGGGGATTTCTCAGCTGCTTTGAAGTGCGTCCGGTCTGCTTTAATCTCCAACACTGGGCAGAAGATCACATCTGTGATGTTTCTTCAACCTCTACTGCCAAAAACTTAGCAGAAATATAAAATCCTATCAGACCTGACCCCTGAACGCACCGACGAGACGCCCGAGTGGAAACCAACACGGCACTTTAAAATAGCTGAAAAATAAATACATTTTGATAGTAAATATTTTTTATGAGAATGGGTATTAAAGCCAAGTTTGAAAAGTGACGGCACAGATTTACACAATGTGCCCTCCTAGCATGTTTTCTTTCTCATCTGGTGCCTTTAGGCCGTTACGACCACGGTGAAACCTTCAGAAAAACGAAGTAAATTTCCTGTTTTCAGCAGGTCAGAGTCCGTGATCCTATCCAGTCGGGAGTCCATATCCGGTTTTCACAGGATGGAGCAGAACATGCTGCCACTGTGACAACCGCTTTCCACCGTGGCTCCAACTCTGGTAGTCATGGAAATCCCAAGGCGGGAAGGAAACCGGGATGAGGAAAGGCCTGCAGGAGAACCGGCAAGTGGGCGAGGTGGAGGGTTTTCCAGAACCCAGGCCGGAGCAGGTGTACAGCTACAAAATGGGAAAAAAAGAAAAGGCAGTATTATTTTAAACCGATGTTTGGTGTACTCAGGCGATTTTAGGGTTTGCTGCTAGCCATGCAAGCCGTCCTTCCATCTATCCATCCATTTTCGGTCGCTTATCCGGGGTTGGGTCATGGGGGCAGTAGCCTAAACGAGGAAGCCCAGACTTCCCTCTCCACAGCCACTTGGGCCAGCTCCGCCAGGGGAATCTCACGGCGTTCCCTGGCCAGCCGTGAGATAATTCCTTCAGCGTGTCCTGGGTCTTCCTTTAGATCTTCTCCCAGTTGAACGTGCCTGGAAAACCTCACCAGGGAGGCATCCTAACTAGATACACGAGCCGCCTCAACTGGCTCCTCTTGATGTGGAGGAGCAGCGAATCTACTCTGAGACCCTCCCGGATGACTGAGCTTCTCACCCTATCTCTAAGGTCCAGACACCCTGTGGAGAACTCATTTTGGCCGCTTGTATCTGTCACTATTCTTTCAGTCACTACTCAGAGCTTGTGACCATGAGGGTTGGAAAGTAGATCGACCGACGAATGGAGAGCTGTGCCTTCTGACTCAGGTCTCTTTACTGCAACAGACTGGTACAACGTATGCACCTGTTTCTCCTTGCGCTCCATCTTTCCCTCACTCCTGAACAAGACCCAGAGATGCTTTAACTCCTCCGCTTGGGGAAGGACCTCATCCCGGTCCCAGAGAAGGCATTCTACCCTTTTCTGACTCAAGGCCATGGTCTCGGATATAGAGGAGTTGATTTTCATCCCAGCTGCTTCACACTCGGCTGCGAACCGCTCCGATGACAGGCGGAGATCACGTTTTGATGAAACCAACAGGACCACACCATCTGCACATCCCATTGGCCCACGTGTAAGCCATCCTGCAGAGCAGTCTTTAGCTGCTGCTATGGTTTGTCTAGATTTCTAGGCCAATGTATACATTTTATCTACCAGATGTCTTCGTATGTTTACAAACCTACTGCTTTATGGTGCAGAATTCAATGTCCACAGTGCATTTTTATAGGGATGCACCGATACGATACTGGTATCGGTATCGGCGCCGATACCAATACCAATATCAGTATCGGTAAAAGTTAACCGATACCAATGCAGTTGCTTGAAAATGGCTTCCTTGTAACTTGTCATTTCTGTTCACCTAATATTTTAGTTTTGTGATGATTTCCATTCATATATTTTACTTTTTATCTACCTCACAGTCTTTTCCTGTTGAAAGCAGAGAAGAAAATAAAATCTGTATTCCAATTCATTTCATTTTTTTGTGTGGTAGAAGTATCGGTATCGGTAATCGGTATCGGCGAGTGCTCAGATCCAAGTATTGGTATCGTATCGGTTTGGAAAAAAGTGGTATCGTTGCATCCCTACATTTTATTATTATCAGGAAGCTGCAGAGCTAAACATAAAAGTAACACACTCTAAAAGCTGCAGGACCGGGCGGCTATGATGACATCTGAAGATCTCAGTTACCTGTTATGTCTCAAAATACTGTTGTTGCGCAACACACAACTTTCACTGATGAAGTCTGTGTGCAGGAGGGACTTTTTGTTTTCCGGGTTACCCTGGAACAAGATGTTGTCACGGACAATGGCTTTTAGTGGCCCCAGCAGAGCAATGCCACAGCCCATTGCTGGTTGGACACGGTTACGAACCACCTACAGACACAAATCAGTAAACAGTTGGTTTATTCACTTAGCAACTTACAGCTTATATTTAACATGCAGGTTTTTGGTCTGTTGGAGAAAAGCCACGCATGCATGAAGAGAATATTCTAACTTTGTGCTAAAAGGCTGCAGCTGGAGTGTAAGCCCGATACATTCTTGCTGCAAAGCATTTACCAGCTGCACCATCGTGCATTTGGGAAATGTTATAAACCGCTAGCTTTCTGAACAGCTTCTACTCACAGAAAGAGTCGAGTCCTTCAGAATTGATGAGCTAATGGCTAATCCAAATATAGTCATCTTGAAAATGCTCCAGTTTCTAAAATTTCACAGCCGTTCATCCCCTTTTAAACCTTTAAATCGTTGTCAAGTTAGCATCGAGTCCTTTACAAGCATAAATGCTAGCAGATCACAGAAACCTGCTTCACAGTGACCTCATCTCACCTTAATATCAGAGCTCACAGAAACCTGGATTCCACTTCCCCCGTTACCAACCACATCGTTCTCCACTATCTGCCCGTTCCCGCTGAACCGGACGCCGTGGCCGCTGTTCTCATAGATGCCGTTGCCACGGAGCTCCACCCTGCAGTCCTTCTCCACCGCAACGCCGCCTCGACCATTTTTCACGATGCAGTTTGCAACGAGCCGCGTCAGCTGACTGCTCTGCAGCACAGCGATGCCAGGGCCACAGTTGCTGTTCACTAGGTTTGCAAAAACATTGAGGGCCTCGCTGCTCTTTACGTACAGACCAACAGCTGCAGAGGGACAGAGGAGGGACACGGTCAGGGGTTTAAGGTAATGCGTGGTGTTTTATGTGAACTTGTTACCTCCGTTGTAACTGAGGCAGTTGCTCTCGACCAGGGCCACGCTGATGGAGCGGCGAGCAGAGTGGCGCTCATCCTCACTGTCCAGATCGCTCTCCCAAGCAAACAGTTCACCCTCCTCATTAAAGTTCTCCTGGCCTTCTCTTGCGTCACCTTCTGCTCCTCTTCTTTCCCCACTGGCTGCGTCCCCGCCTATTACTTCCTGCCCCGGCCAGTTCCCCTCCCTGGCCTCAACGTTCTCCGGGTCTTTCCTGCAGAACACTGCCAGCCCGTACATGCAGTTGTGGACAATGTAGTTCCCAAGCAGCTGTGGAAGGCTGGAGGACATCACCCACACACCGCAGCCTTTGTTACCTGATTGAGTCAGATTCAGGAGGAGGTGAAGCATCTGCAACAAGCCACTCCTCATCTGTTATTAGGCTGAATTCACCTACAGTACACCTGGTTTCCCTCAATTAGACCACGCCCCCTCTCTCCCACCACCACGCCGTCGGAATAGCCGTAGCCTATGTAGTTGTTCTTCAGAATGGGGTCACCTCCTCTGCGGATGTCCACTCCGCCCCACTGGTTCTCTCGGATTACGTTGTCTGGGACGAAAATGTGTAGATTTAGTCCTGCTGACTGGTAACAACATAGCAAAGACACACACACAAACACACAAATACACACCCGTTATCATCCCTCTGCCGTTCTCGTTAATGGCTATCCCTGCCGCCTGGCCTTGGAAGATGTGATTCCCACTAAGAAAGCAAACGGTTCAGACTTAAACGTTGCAGAAACACGTGAGTTTTTTTTTTATTTGATGCATAAACACATCCACCCCCAGTTTTTCCTCAGAGATGTTATGTAAGATGGTTTATGCCACATTTGCTGCTTCACCAACTGCAGGTTGTTTCACACACTGGGATTTGAACCTGCGACCTTCTCGCTGCAAGGCAGCAGAGCTACCAACTGTGCCACCATGCAGCCTTCATCTAAGTGTTTTAGGATTTTTTTTGCCATCTGCATTGAGATCGTTTAGAGCTACAACTGAACTACAGATGTGACTGAGGCTGGCACGATATGAATAAATTGTTGATAAATGATTCAGGGTATCTGCAGGTTTAAGGGAGCCAAATTTAAGACTTTTTAAGACCTTTTTTAAGGCCACTTTGACCAAATTTAAGCTATTTATAAAATTAAATTTAAGCTATAATTTCCAACTATTGCCTGGAACCGGTGCTAACCACGTCGTGAACGTGGGATTAACCATCCAGTTACCATTAAACTTGCACTTCCCCATGGCGCAAGCTCCCACTAGCTTAACCAGCTAATGTGCTCATCTAAAAATAGCCCCCTTTCACAACCAACTGAATGTGTACGGTTCCGCTTACGCCAACATCATACACAAAAAATGCTGAACACTAACTAGAAATTCACGAAAATTTTTATAGAAATAAAATAATCTTGTTTATTGGGTCTTTGGTAATTTAAGACCTTTGGAAACTGGATTTAAGGATTATTTGTCATTTTTAAGGATTTTCAAGGCCTTAAATTTGGAAAAGCAAATTTAAGACTTTTTAAGGACCCGCGGATACCCTGATGATTTCTGTGATGCAACTAGACTCCGTTATCATATTTTAGCTTTATACAGTAAATATGAAAGATTTTCAGGTGTAAATCACGTAATAATGACGGTAGAACAGCTGCAATCGGACCAGAGCCAACGGAAGCGTTATTAATGAGTGTCGCTCTACGGACATGTCAGCGTATCATCTGTAAAGAAATGTTTGTTGGTTTTTAACAACAGCTTTTGATTACATTTCTAGAAGAAACAGAAACACTGAGTGATGTCCAGATGATGGGAAGTGTGGGATAGACGTGATCCTGTTTCTGGAGTCCAGCTCACCTCACCACAGGATTCCCGCTGAAGAGAACATACACGCCGGCTTCCTTGTTGTTATAGATCAGGTTGCTCCGAATTGAGCCTTTCCCGTTGCCAAGGACAACAACCCCAGAACGCAGACCGCTGTGTATCCTATTGCACTGTAGAACAAAAGAGGAAATAACGGAGAACACAGGAACACAGACAATACATTTAAAGCTGTTTCTACCAGAATAATGGGGTTGGCCCCTTTTCGGATATCCAGCCCGGCTTCCCCGTTAGAGTGGATGTTGTTTTCCGCGATGAGGCCCTGAGCCGACAGGCGCAGAAACACACCTGACGCGCGACACTCGCACACCTCATTTCTCAGCATCACAATCTGGAGAAGCAGGGAAAGAGGAAGCTCCAGTGACACTGCTGCTGAATTACTAATGACTCCAGCAAGCTCCTTAAGTTTGTACGTTAAAGGAAATGAAATCTCTAAAGATGTAACGGTGCGTTTGACAGATTTATCATGAACAAATATTATTTAGGTTGGGTTTACTGTGGAGTTTTGGATGCAGCGGACAGCGTAGTTCAGCCCACGGAACACGTTGTCCTCCAGACGAGCTTGTGCATAATTGGACAAATGTACACCTCCCTTCCCATTTCTGAAGAGGCAGCGTCTCAAAATGCAGCCAAGGATGGATGAGGCTAGGATCTGAGCCTCCGGGTCCCTGTCTAATTCCTGCTGAAGGGTGAGGGGGTCAGGGGCCGCAGACGGAGGGTCAGAGGAGGAGGCAAGTGGCAGAGAGCCGTCCGCTCGAGGCTTCAGCAGATGGGACAGGCTGTGATTTTCACATGGGATTTTGCAATCCAGTGTAAAGAGTTTTCTTGTGTTTTTCTCCTCCTCCCCCTCGCTGTGCTCACCATCACTCCAGCCGTCTCCGATGACGGTGCCCTGACAAACTGCTTCTCCACTTGTCCTTCTTTTCCAGTCCTCCATGCTCACATACTCCTTTGCAACCCCCCCTGGAGGATTAGGCTCAGGAGTGGAGCTGCCCTGAGGGCAGCTGGGGGAGCTGCTGAACTTAGATGGGAATGTCCTGGCCAGGGAAGTCAAATGTTTACAAGCCCAGTTTCTTTCGGACACTGGGGGGCCCTCCACAGTCACTGAAGCTGTGTCACTTCCTGAAAAGTCACAGCTGTCCAACAGACTGACGACGACACTCAGCAAGTGGGCAGAGCTTCCCTGGGAGAAGGAGCAAAATCGAGCCTGGCAGGTCCCCGGGCCACGGATTTGAAGCTGGGCTCCTTCAAAGTTGCAGTTGTCTAGTTGGACATGACCCCATGATGTCTAGAGGAGAGAAAGGACACAAGTAAGACAAATTCTTGATTGGGTTAAGACATTTGTTGATGTTGGAAAGCTGTTCTATCACCTTGTAGACAACCGTGGAGAACCAGGGAGGCATGAACACCAAGTTACACAGCCTGGCTGTAGGACACTGTTGCTCCATGCAGACCAGGAGGGCCACCTCACCCAGCTGGCCCAGACCAATCAGCTCCACTGGCACTTTCAGAACCACCTCGGCCTGTTCCTCGTACACTCCTGGATGGAGAACCACACGGTCGTATGGCGCCGCCACCCCAAGAGCTCCACGCAGGGTCTCAAACTCCCGTCCGGGCCCCACGTGCCAAACCCTGCGGTCTTTCCTCCTCCGGAAAAACAGGAGGCAGGCGGAGGACTGGAGCTCTTGGCCATTACGTGTCCAGGTGCGGGTGGCGAGGGTGTGCTGCTTCAGGGCCTCTCTCCAGGACAGTGGCTCCAGGTGGGGCTGGCTGGGCCAGTTGGGATGGCGACACTCGGGACAGCCCAGACACAGCTGCCTCCAGCGGGTGTTATCCAGGGAGAAGATGAGCTCCCGCCAGGCGCGGCACACCTGGCAGCAGCGGCCCAGGTCAGGGACAGGGAGGTAGGCCAAGATGAGCCTCCACAGCTCCACGGGGAGGCCGCCCGCCTCCATGGCAGCAGAGACAAGGTGGAGGCACCTGGAGACAGGTGGGGACTCTTAAAGGGACAGAAAACTCATTCAGTACACAACAATAACAAAGCCCATTATTATTATTAATAATAAATTATTTACTGTGCGCAAACCTGTAGTTAAACATTTAACATTTTCCAACCTAAAGTTATTTTCAAAGCGATAAAAACTGCTGGACTGATTATATAAAGTTTGTGAGATCCTACCAGCTAGCTAGCTAAGACACCGTTAGCTCCACCTTTAGCTGTTCGCCATCGTCCGATAATCCACACACGTAGGCTCGAAGCTTCCTGCTTTAATCCGCCGCAGCCTCACATATCAGCGGGAAGAGCCGCCTCACAACCTCCGCCGGACTTCATCACTTTCCATCATGCAGATGTGCAAACGGAGCTACCGCAAGACGACGCAGATCTCCATCTTCCGCTTCCAAAAAGTGGGCGTTTCCCTTTACGACCGCTCTCCTCCTCCAGCTCCTCCCCCGCACGCGCATGTTGGAGGAACGCCGCCGTCCAATCCGCTGTTAGTATGACCTTTTGGGGAAATGATTGGTCTGGACACCTGCACAAAGATTAGAGCGCCCATGTTGTCTTTACATTTTCCTCTTGGCGCGATTAAAGTTTTTCTAAATGCGTCTGCTTTTAACCTGAGGCGGACAAGAGGTATCAGACCCAAACAACCGTAGCTGCTTTAAGATCGTCTTTTCATCAGGACTGCAGACTAGTGATGGGAATTCCGGCTCTTTTTAGAGAGCCGGTTCTTTTGGCTCGGCTCACCAAAAAGAGCCGGCTCTTTCGGCTCCCAAGTGGCTCCTCAGATTTTCTGTTGCCTAGACTGCATTTATAACCAAAATAATGCAAAACTGTACGTAAAATGATTTACTAATGTAAAAAAATGCTATATATCAAATATTTATCATTTCTATGGATTTAATAACTGAACACTTTCAGAAATCTCCACTTTCCGAGTGCTAGCGCTCATTTTCTCACCGTCTTCGTCACACTCTCCTCTCTCTCTCTCTTGCCCTTTTCCTCCTCCTCATTCCTTCTCGTCTCCCTCCGCCCGCACTTGCTCTGCTGTGTTTCTGAATCTGATCCTCCCTTTTCCCCGCCCCTACTGCTCTGTGTGTGGACAGTCTGGACACGCAGTTACACATGTTGACCAATCAATCGCCTGTGGCTTTCACCAAAGCAAAAGGGAGGGGGGAGGGGAGGGGATGGCTCCCAATGATGAGCCGGCTCCCGTCGTTCACTTCAAAGAGCCGGCTCTTAGAGCCGGTTCGTTCGCGACCGACACATAACTACTGCAGACACAAAACAATTAATATAAAGACTGTGTAAAAAGGTCCAGAACTCATGATACTTCAGATAAACAGTAAAGAAGATTTGTGCAACTGGCATGTAAAAGACACTGATAATTACACAGGGTGAACAATTTACACGTTTGGACAGCAGTGGGGCATTATTAGTTTTAGACACAACGAGGGTTGCGCAGGGCTTGCATTAAACGATCCAGTAAAATACTTCACATACTGATTGAAAAAAGTATGAAAGTTAATTTTACTACATTTTATTTCAGTCATCCACAAAAATAATAAAATGTGTGATGTGTTTTATTTGTAGAAAGAAACAACAATAAAAAAAGAAACAATTCCCATCTCACCCTCTGTGGGTGGTCTCATCACAGACATATGTAGTAGACGCACCCCCAATGCATTCATTTCTAATGAAGAAGGTTTAACTAAAAATCACATTTTATCAAGCTTTTTTTTACAAAATCAGACACATGGTATGCCATGATAGTTAAAATACAAACATAATTAAACAAAATAAATAAAAATATAACATCCCATCAAGTAGGCTATATTCAATATATTTTCAATCATCCCATGTGATCTGTTTTCAAAAGTAGGCCCTACTTAAGAACATCACCTGTTCTGAACGATATTAAATTAGCCTCCGACAACAAAGTGAAGAATCTTTGACCAAGACATGTCATTCAAATCCCACGTTAAACAGGTTTGTAGGATTTTCTTCTTCCACCTCCAAAATACTGCTAAGATAAGCATTTAGAAGTATTTAGTTTTAACTGTTCGTGTTTCTAAGTAACCAGGGAGAGACAACAATTGCAGTTCTTCTTTAGTATTTTCTCCTTGTCCAAAGACTTTTACAAGACCTAATTAGTAAAAACACTTGCTCTCTATGTCTTGCTTTATTGAAAGAACCACAAATCTACGCCCTCTGCTGGCAAGACATAGAAATACACTCTGGTTTCCAACACCCTTTAGATAAGGGAAGAAGGGAAGTTGCTGCCCTCCAGTGGCCAAAGCTGGTACTAAAATGTTCAACCTTAGCCAATTAAAGTAAAGGACAATATTTTGCCTGCTCATAGGTATTTTAGCCTGTTTCTGGGTGTGCAGAAGCACTCTTAAATTAAATCATAGCTTCACTCAAACTTGAGATTAATTTTTTATTTAAATATGCATTTATGTTTATTGTTTGTTAATTTTTTTAAGTAACCAGTAACAGAAGACAATTGGAGTTGTCTTTTTACTATTTGTGCTTGGTCTAAAAGGCTTTTAAAATACGTTACTGTATATAAACACTTGCTCTATAATTTGTCATTAAATTAATGGGCAATTTAAGCCTTCCGCTGGCAAAAAAGAGAACAAAACTCTGATCTCCAACTCTATTTAGAGAACGGTATAAGGGGTGTTGCTGCCCTCCAGTGGCCAAAGCTGGTATTAAACCTTTCAACTTTAGCCAATTCAAGGACAGTTATTTTGCCTCCTTATAGGTGTTTTAGCCTGCTTTTGGATGTGCAGAAGCATTCCTAAATTAAATCCCAGCTTCAATCAAGTTTGAGATTAAATAATTTATATAAATGTGTGTTTAGTTTTTGCTGTTCGTGTTGTTTAAGTAACCAGAACAAGACAACAATTGCAATTTCCATCAAAGTTTCTGATTGGTGTGAGGTAAATTGTGACGTCTAGTGTTAATTGTGTGCTGGTTGAGCTCAAGCTGTGCTGACTTCAGTTAACATTATTGACTGCTAGTGCTTTCTAAATGACCACATGGTGTCAGCACTGAGAAATGTAGGGATTTGTGTGCAGAGTCTTGCAGTAACAATTCACCAAATCTGACTCAAGAGTTAAAGCAGGGAATACTGAGTATGGTCCAGGGAAATGGGTGCTTCTGTCCGCGCAGGACTTTTTAATACACTTTTCAAACAGTTTTTTTAATCCACATTGAATAAAAATCAAAGTTTTTAGTAACTGTAGAAAGAAATAAACAGCAAATATATTTAAAATAAAATCACAATTTATTCACAATCATTCCGTCAATATAAAAGTGCAAAGATATATGTATTTTTATAGAAAATATGAAACAGATTTTAGCATCTTCAAACAGATGTTTGCTGCTAGAGAAAGGGTCGGGTTTTTTACTCATCCCCATTGTTTTCTTCAAAGGTGAAACGTCAACCCAACGACACAAAAGCGGATAATTAATATGCTATTCTGATAATCATATTCACCATCATGTCTCTGTGTGTTTCTAAACAATCGTAACGTCACCGACTGCCACAGTTTCCACAGGAATCTTCCCTTTCAGATGCAGCAAACTCGCTGCATTTATGCTGGCATATACTCCATGGCATACGTCCCTACTTGTGGTCAGGATTTGTTCTTCCATGCCTCTGCCTACAGAGAAGAAAGTGTTGACAATTTTAAAAGTTTTTGTATAAATCTCAAACTGAGCTGTGATCTTCATGGATTTGACTAATCTTGAAAAGTAATGATTATTTTTGAGAGCACACTCATCTTCCTTTAATGTGTGACTAAGTACAATAGAGTACATGAATACCTTCAGTTGTGTTAACATTACTCACAACTAAATGTCTTGGCACAAGCAGGAGCAATAAAAACGAAAAACTGACGTTGCTTTCACGCTTTTCTATTTACAGGCTCGTAAAATGAAAAACGGACTCACACAAGCCATTTATCCAGCATTCTTCTGACCCAACGAGCATCAGGATCCAAACAGATCTTTTGTCTGTTGTTTTTATGAATTGCGCTGCAGGATGAAAGACAGATCCAACATCAAACACAGCCTGTGACCTCAGGATCGATGCTCACACGACTGGAAAAACAGCAATTTCCTCGAAGTGTGAATTATGCTTTAAAAAGGGAAGTTTCTGTATAACTTTGCTTCAGAGACTCACATGATCTCCAGGTCCTTGCAGTGGGAGTTTGGAAGATTTACTTCAATCATGTCCAATCTTATGTTACGTCCGATGGGCTTTTTCTCCTTGGAGATGCATCTGCATCGCAGATTCATGCCCTGATCCACCACACTGCTGGCTGAGGTTTCCCAAAGTCAGAGAATCAATCAATGTCTAACAAGAAAATAGCATGTTTGCATGTACCTTAAATGAATTAAATACTGAGCATGGTAGACAACTGGCAGGATACAGCTGATGTACTATTATAGGATAGATCCACTAACCTTCATGGATGATCAGGAAAACCAGGAATATCACAGGGGTAATTGCAGACATAGCTACTCAGAACAAACTCTAAAATCTGCTGCGTCACTGGAGTGCACAGATGTGTGCAAAGCTCAGCTGCTCCCCTTATAGTTGTGAACTGTTGCAAGACACTCCTCCATACTGTACGTCCCTCCTTGGCTCACTTACATTCTCAAGAAAAGAAGGAGGGTGCTGTCGTGTAGAAGAAGGCATCATCTAAACAAGTGGGATCTCATTCTGTGGAATAAAATAAAGGATTCCAGAGAAAAACCTTTGTGTGTTTCACCTCAGGCTTTTTGTCACACTTACACTCAAACTTTAACTCTCCAGTTACCTCAACGCCCGTTTTATGTTTGTGTCAGAGCTGCAGGAGAGGCTGCTGCACAGTTAGTAGCTAAAGCGGATCGAGGTTTATGCAACAAACACTCTTTACCTTTAACTGTCTGACTCTTTTTTAAATGGATTTTTCTTGTTATGCTGCAGTTAAAAAACACAAATTGCTTGGATTACGAGTATTTAGAAATCTTGCAGCAAGGTGGCAAGTGAAAACCTTTTTCTGTTAAAAACCACACACACACACACACACACACACACACACACACACACACACACACACACACACACACACACACACACACACACACACACACACACACACACACACACACACACACACACACACACACACACACACACACACAGCAAGTAGACTCCACAAGTTTTACATAAATGATCTGTGGCCATCAACTGCTGGAGGTTACAGCCAGTGAAGGGAGCTTGTCCTGACACGACGTTTTATACTGGGGAGATGCTGTTGCAAGCATGTGGAATGCACGCTGCAGAGGTCACCCAGCCTCAGAAACAAACTCACAAACCTATTCTGTTGTCCTGTTATCTAAAAATCCCAAAACTCCCAGAGATTTTCCAGAATTCCTAAAGGCTGTGTGCATTTGTCTGGCTCTCACTTTTGCACGAGTAAATCATTTATAAAGAACAGCTTCCCTCTTGCACAACCCATTTACATCCCATTGTAAACACACTAGAATGACACATTAATGATGAAACACACCTTTGAGCGCACGCGCGCGCGCGCGCACACACACACACACACACACACACACACACACACACACACACACACACACACACACACACACACACACACACACAAGTGGGGACAAGCACTCTCACAAAAGACATGATAAGTTAGTGATTCACTTCTGATTTTCCCAGTTCCCGTCCCTCCTATCTCTGGCTTTTTGTGCTCCATATCATCAGCAGGATGGAGCAACAACGATGTGATACCACACGTGTGCAGCATTTACACCAAACCTCTGTGCTCGGTATATATTTGCTATAAAGAAATGCTGCATGGTATTTGGCTTTTGTGCAATGTTAATGCTGAGTCAAGTTGACTGTGGGAGACCACATGTTGTGAAACAGCAGTCTGGAAACACTCAGTATGCTTTTTTTAATTTTCTCGTTTCATTTAATCACTGTGACATTAAACAGTGGATCAAGCATGCAGAACGGATGTGGGAAGATGTCATTTTTCTCTCATGGTCATTCATTTTGATAAAGAAACCAACAAGCCACAGAATCGTTGATTACCACATGGTGATTTATTTACTTAATCATTTATTATTTAATTCAAACCAGTAGTGAACCATGTGCAGAGGTGGATAGAGTACTAAAATTTCCTACTTAAGTACGAGTACCAATACTTAGATAATTTTTTACTCAAGTACAAGTAAAAGTACTTGCCTAAATTTTTACTCAAGTAAAAGTAAAAGTATCAAACAAAATGTTCTGAAAGAAAACGTTACTTAGTTACATTTTTGTCAGCGTAAGGATGGCTACATCTAAGTAGTGCTAAATCACAACGCCAGTTCACAATTCGCTCGTGTGTGCGCGTGCACACACACACACACACACACACACACACACACACACACACACACACACACACACACACACACACACACACACACACACATACACACACACACACACACACACACACACACACACACACACACACACACACACACACTGCAGCATGTTAGAATAATTTGAATGACTAATTTAACTACACTGAACTGCTTTAGTAATAATTTAATCTCTTATTCTGGAGTAAAATAAAGAAACAAGCTAAATCATCACATATCTGTGGCATCAAGAAGCATCTTCTGAGTTCAGACACAGGGATGGAGCACAATGTTTACACCTGAACAGTACCAGGATGTTTTAACTCACAGAGGCCTGCAGGTCTTCTGTTTTATGAGCAAAGCGTTGATAATCTGCTTGTTATGAGCGCTAAACGTTATTTTGCCGCTTCCGTGCGGAGCATCGACATATAAATATTGGACAATGGGTTTCCACAGGTTCCAATAACACATTTTTGAAGATAAATGGGAGGTGGCCACCACCGCCATTTTGACCGTGTCACAGGTTCCGTCAAGCCCAGACAATTCCACAAAAGGGAAGAGAGGTGGAGCTGAGGGTGGGGCTGTAAGGCTGGGATCAACTGATGACACCCGGTCGAACTAGCTACAAGCTAACCTGAAGCTAACCCAATGCTAATGCGGAGGTGGGAGCTAAGCTAACGGATGTAGCAACCTAGCTACAACCGGAGTTAACTGTGCACAACACCAGAGCTTCTGAGTCAGAGATACGCCGGGCTGACCGCTGGGTAAAACCGGGTGGAACACAGAGGTCTCCGAGACCTCCACAAGCTGACAGCCGCACAGACAAGCGCCGCTGCGATCTGAGATGCGCCGAGCTGCCGCTGGGGAGAACCGGGTGGAAAGGTTTCCATCCCAGAGCTCCACAAGCCGGCAGCCCGCACATCAGTCAGGAGCCGCGATCAGACAGAGATGCGCTGAGCTGCGGGGAGGGGAGAACCGGGTGGAAAACATCAGTCTCCCGAGAGCTCCACAAGCCGATAGTTGGAACCCAGCTCCACCAACATGTTATATTTCAACCCATTTTCTGAAGTGCAGCATTATGTTAAATGCACTGGGTTTTACCCTATTACATTTACATTTCATGGTTAAACAGTACATGTTAAAATCTAAGCTCAGCTCGGCAGTGACCTAAAATACATAAATATAATTTTACTTACCGAAAAAAATGAAGTGGAGACTCCTTGGATGCTCTATTAGTGCAATTAATGCCACAGCAAGTCATTTTGTCCAACAATTGCACAAAAAATATCCAAACAAGAATACACAAACACAGAGACTCAAAATCCCGGAGCAGTTTCCAAGCCAGACCGAGGCTCTACTGAGGCCTTTCCACGGAGCTAGCTCTGTGGTCAAGTGGGTCGGATGCTCATTAATTATACAGAATTTTAGGCTTTTAATACACTTAAACAGAAGAGTGAGAAAAAAGGAGGGAGAGAGGAGGTAAACAGCGAGTTGATCGACTGAACTGATGTCTTTGAGCAAAAGTGTACAACCCCCACGGTTTAGATGCGGTGCTCATGCAGGTGTCTCTTTCCGTTGCGACGCTGCTACACTAAGCCTACAATTTATTTTTACTCAGTAACGGATATGATTTAAAATATAGCAAATTACAAATCTTTTTTAAAAACTTACTCAAGTAAAAGTAAAAGTACAGCTTTTAAAAACGACTTAAAAAGTATAAATATACAAAAAAGCTACTCAGTTACAGTAATGTGAGTAAATGTAATTCGTTACTTTCCACCTCTTACCATGTGCAAAACAATTACAACAGAACCAGTCCCATCTTTTCGCTCTATACACACAGAGTAGTAATCCATTTTTTAGGTCTTTTCTTACACAGTTTAGTAAAATCATAACAGAGTAGTAACAGCTTTGTTTGTACCTTCTGGAAATGCAACACAGAATGAACGCAACAGGAAATATGAAGCTCGATATCTGTGCAACTGAAACTTGACGTACAACATGCAAAACAGTAAAGGGATCTCTTGAGACCGGGTCAGAGGAAGAATGCTTTTGCTTTGTTTAACAGCAGGAAAAACGCATCTGTTGCCTGTTTTTAGATAGCTGAACTGTTCAGCACATGAAACCAGCCATTCAGATATGACAGATGAAACTTCCAGGATTTTCCCTTTAGCAAGGTGAAACGATGGTAGCATTACCACACGTGGTAAAAACGTAAACATGGCCACTGACCTTTTAGAAAACATGGGCCAGTTTTAATTAAAATCACATTCATAAATGTTTGTTGGACAAAGTCTCCACTATCTCCCGCATCAGCTTCTGATAGGAAATAGACGGTGAAACTCTAGGATTAGAAATTCCTGACAGGTCTGCATCACACTGTCACTTAACATTCATGGATTCATCCATCTTGACTCACGACATGGAAGGCTGTTGTGAGTTTAGTGTCCAGGAAAATGCAGAGAATGTCTCAGCTAGTAGAAGCTAACTGTTAGCATTAGCAATCCCACCACACAGCAGAACTCCTTCAGGTTTGTGTAATTTATGGAGATAAAACGTTGCAAGCCAGTGGTAGAGTCACGTTGCTGTTATCCAGTTCAAGACAAGATGTAATATCAGGAAATAAGACTCCAAAACCTGCCGCCTGAAGCTCAGCTGGGATGTGGCTCACACCTAGTTACAAGGCATTTATTCCTACTAGAGACCACTGCAGATTTGTTGATTAAATGGGTGTTCTACGCCTTTAATTTTTTACTAATTGTAGCTAAAACTTCAGTGGTTGCAGTCAGTTGCTCCCTAAAGGCTAAACACAAGCTGTTTGTGAGTCTATTGTCATCATACTTCAGTCTTCAAAGCTTTAAAGCTATTTCTGCAGGCCACAGCATCTACTACCAATTTTCTAATTCTTTGTGAATCTATTTAAAAAAATGAGCTGACCAAACGAAATATTCAGCAAATCCATGTACTTTCATTAAACGCATAAAAGACTGAGTCAAGTGACTTTCTAATCTCATGTTTTTGTCAGATTGGAGGATTTTTAGGGGAAATTTCAGAATATCCTCATGGCTTTGCATGATGCTGCCATAGAAAGTTTTTTCTCACTTCCTCTGTTGTGGTGGTCTGACTCCGTTTACTGTGTGTGTCTGTCAAAAAGGCTTCTTTCCCGATTTGGCCGAATCGAGGTGTCAGCTAGAAACCGTGTGTGAGTGTGTGTGTTGATTCTGATCGAGGAAAGAAAATCTAGCGTCGATTGCAAATGTCAAAGATTCTCAACTCACCATTATGTTTGCGAAAACACAATACGCCATAAATAGACAGAATTGAACATTTTTCCTGTTTCATTAAAATCAACCTTCTGACGTCAAACATTTGACAGAAGAAGCAGAGTTTTTGAAGGGAAGTAAAGAAAATGGTCATTTGGTGGTTTCTGTGTAGTCTCCTGTTGGTCACGTGCATTTTAGCGTTCTCTTTTTAATGTAATTCGGCCACACAGAAGACAAAATGGTAAACTGATAACTTTCCAGGAATGCTCGTGACACACTCAGTGTTTAACCATATGTTATTTTCACTTCCATTGATGTAAAGAAGAGCTGACCAAAAGAGGACATGAATAATAACATCTGTCTTTTCCTCTGTTTCTTATTTGTTTTAACCCTCTCAGGCTCAAAATAAGTTTTGATGAAAGGACGAACAACTCAGTCCTTCAGGGGAACTCCTGAGATAAAAATGCTCATGAAACACGTGTGTGGAGTACCCAGGTGGGTAAGTTTTAACGCTGCAACTCCTGCCTCCAGACGGTTAACTCTCTTTTATGAAAACACCAGCACCATACAACAACAACAAAGACAACAACAACAACACACACACACACGCGCACACACACGCACACACGCACGCACACACTCACTCACACGCACGCACGCACACACGCACACACACACACACTCACACGCACACACGCACGCACGCACACTCACATACACACACACGCACGCACGCATGCACGCACTTACACACACGCACGCACACTCACACACACACACACACGCACGCACGCACACACGTGCACACACACACACACACCTGCACACACACACACACAAACACACACACACGCACGCACGCACGCACACACACACGCACGCACGCACGCACGCACACACGTGCACACACACACACCTGCACACACACACACACACACACACACGCACGCACGCACGCACGCACGCACGCACACACACACACACACACACACACACACACACACTGCCCCCCTCAGAGTCGTGGGGCCCTGAATGCCTCACAGACTCTCATCATCATCTCTTTATATTAATCAAATTGGTTGAGTTCTTGATTTTTTTAAATAAGTATTTTTATGGCTGAAAGCCAGAGAGTGAGAGTAAGTGGCTGCACGTCAGAGGAAATTACATCATCAGCTGAATCCCCTCAGGCTATTACCATTTCACCCTTTATCTACATTCTTTACCCTGGGAACTGCTGGAGTTCATTTGAAAATCACTTTAGCTTAAAATTCCTTGATGTTTTTGTAAATGTCAGTCTTCTTCCAGCCGTCACCCGGTGTGGCCACCAATTAAGGGGCAGGTTGTTGATCATGTGGACAGGTATGAGGACCAGAACTGAATTTTAACACCAATGTTGGTCAAGAGTATTTGGGTATTTCTGTCATAAAGTGTCAGGATGTTTTTTAAAGCCCATGCTTAGTCTGGTTTAACCCGTTCCTTCAGTCTCTGGTGTGAAAAAAACAACAACATTAAAGGTATTCTGCAATTTTGAAGTTAATGTCTGTGTGACAGTTACAACCAACTTCCTTACCCATTAGATAGTCTCTGTTGGAAGAAATATAACTAATATCCTATAGGACTGACAGGCTAACAGCTAGTTGAAGCAGAAAGAAGACAAAAACGGTCTTGCTGCAGTTTAGACACTGTTGTCCCAGTACTGTGGTCTTTTATCAGTTCAGCATAAACCTGTTGGTCCTTACTCAAGGGGACTCGTTTTAATTTAATCAAACTTAATTTTTACTTTAACAATTATATTGTTTCTATATCTATGGCAGGTTTTTTTATTAGTTTTTTTTTCTCAAAATGATTGTTTGATGTATTTATTGGTTAGAGTGTCCAAGTAATTCAGTGTACCAACGGGGGATTGAAAGTTCACACCAGCAAGCACTGGACTCAGGAGGTTAAAACTGATCCAGTCTCCTGTTGGACACAAACTTTATTTCTCTGAGCAAAGGCAATTCAGGAAGCTGCTAATGAGTAAAACAGAAAAAATACCTACCGTAAATCCTGTAATACAGACCCGGGCCTGTATTTGACTCAAGCTCATCAAGCTCCAGGCCTTTATTGGAAGGAGGACCAGAATTAGAGGCAGGCCTCAATTTCTATTTGAGCAAAATGATTTAATGGTTCGCTGGAGTTTTTGACCATTAAAATTGTGCCCACATTTTCAAAGTTAAACACATTTCTTTTAACAACGGTAGTTTCTGCTTCAGCCCTCTCCCCCCCTCCCCCTGCGCAGCGGCCGCAAACTCACTGATGCGCCTGCAGCCTCTCGGAGTTCCTGCTGCTCTAAACATTAAAATAATTATTTCATTTTCTGTTCCTCACTTCTGATTACCTTCAATGGTGTCTGTTTGTTGCAACCAGCAGGTACAAAAACTAACTTGTTTTTATTTGACTATTTTTCTGTCCTGTCTGTTTATTATCTTCCTGCATCTCCTCTCAATCCTAAAGAAAAACTGCTACCTGGGTTCATATATATTCACCTTATGAGTTACCTTTGAACTGCAGTTCTAAAAGATCTACCGACCGCAAAAACAGCGGAGTGCTCGCTGCTTGGCGGCCGCATCAGTGATCGGTGCGTCACCTGAGGACAAGGTGATGCGCCCCGCTCCACAGCAAAACGCATCAGGCGCAAATAAAAGACAGAAAACATCAAAGGAAATGAACCGACATGAACGATCGCGTGTCAGTACCGACGCTCTGGCACAGCGCGTTGCCCCCCCCCCCGAGCGCAGGAGCTTGTCACCTGCTGACAGCAGACTGCTGTCTTTTCCGAGGGCTGCATCTTGCCGGTAATTATCACGTGACAGCGACTAGTCGACGACAGGCATAAAAAGTCGCTATAGTGAAGTCGACTAGTTCATACAACCCCTGCTACTGCTCCCCAGAGTGTTCTGCAGCATAATCAGCACGTTCTCTTTGAACTTGATATCAAATTTTTGCCTCCTCTTCGTCTCCGCATGGTTAAAGTTACCCTCGCGGTCTATCACTGGCAAATCAAAAGTGAGACGATGACACAACCGCCCCCCGTACTTGCTTGTTACCACATTCCACCCGGCCACAATAAAAAATCAGCCATTATTCACCTCCGCCGACTCCGACACCGGCCAAAATATGATACCCGGCCTTTAATTGAATACCGGCCTGTATCAGAGGATTTACGGTATTTTGGATGTTTTTACTTTTTCAATGTCGTTTTCATAGTTTTAGGTCTGAAATATGTCTGATAGTAGCAATGGATCATTTACTTGTTGTGAACCCAAAGAACCTCAGAACACGTGAATGAAGAGAAGTTGTGCTGAAAGATGTCACCGTGACGTCTTATTGGATGTGTTTGAGCCTGTTCAGGTTGCACCAGACTCCTGACCCGTACAACTTTCTGTCTCAAACGGGCTCCAGTTAGGAAGGTCAAGATTCATATCTTTGAAGGTATTCTTATGTGAAAAAATTATTATTTTTGTTATTATTATTATTGTTATTATTATTATTTCAAATACCTTATATGCTTATGCACACGAACACTGAAGAGGGTTTAGAAAATCTTGGAATGATTCACAGGAAATTCTTATTTGACATGTTTCCTGTGACATACTTGTCAGATGATGAGCCTCTAATCAGTTTGGTTTAGGCACAGGAACACACTTTCAAATGTAAAAGATTTGTCATTTATTACTCAGTTGATTGCATAAGGCTCTGTGTTTTTCCTCATGACAGCTCTTGATGAGTGTCACTTGCTCTCCTTACAAGCCACAAACAGTAAAGCGGTTGGGAGACGGAACAGGCGGAGTGTGTAAATTCCCACTCGGCTGCAGAGACTCCCACATTGCACAACCTCCACGAAAGAAGGAAATGACTCACTTTCAGGAGCAAATATAAATGCAGAGCCGTTTCTGTGCTGGATTCAAACGGCAGACAGAGAAAGCAGCTAAAAAGGAAAGGAGGATCTGAAACAAAGAAGCCTCCAGCAGAATAAAAAACCTGACATCTCTGAAGAACATTTTCATCAGAATCCACAAAAAGCAAAATGAAGAGCAGCACAGCTATTGCCTTCTCCATCGTGGTAGTCTTGACCTTTCTTGGCTTCAGTGAAGGTAAATCTCATTCTTTAACATTCAGTAATCATATTTCTGAGTGCCACCTGCACTTTATGACCATGTGCAACTTTAATCTAACAGGAAGGAGTGTCAGGAGTCTGGGAGTGGAGCCGCACTGCCGCTGCATCGAGACGGAGAGCCGGCGCATCGGCCGCCACATCGAGAAGTTTGAGCTGATTTCTGCCAACTCCCACTGCGAGAGACTAGAGATCATGTAAGTTACTTTGGCAGCAGCAATGTCTTATGTTTTAATAATAATTCACAATGGCATCATTATAACATACATCTCTTACATTTTAATGATACAGTGCCACGCTGAAACAGTCAGGTAAAGAGGTCTGCCTGAACCCCGAGGCTCCCTGGGTGAGGAAACTGATTGAAAATATGATTCCTAAGTAAGTTTGACCATAAACACACCTGGTGCTAAATTTAGACATACTGTAACTAAATCTAAATATGGAGGCACAAAATAACTTTCCATCCTGTTTATTTTCTCTGCAGAAAACCCACACAAAGACACGTGAAAGATGCAAGTCCTTCTGAACAAGTTTAGAGAACTAAAGCTTAATCCGATGATGTCACAGCACCAAGTTTCACTGTTGAAAACGACGACAGAACATGCTTACATATTGTTTGTATCAAACATGCCTTTGTTGCTTTCGCTTCTGTATCACACTTATGAAGCATTTGCTTTTCATACGATTGCACTGTTAAAGTTTATTTATTTATATATGTATTTATAAAATCTGAATGTTTGTTAATAATAAATGACCTTAAACAAAAAAAAATTAATGCTCTGATTTGTCTTCTTTTTGTGAAAAGCCTTTTTGCTCTGATGAAATGACACAATGATGATTTGTGCAACATTAACCTATAAGGATGAAAGTTTTTAACTTGAACAAAATATTCCATGCATCCATTTTCGGTCGTTTGTACGGGGTTGAGTCGTTGAGTTGAGCGTAGCAGCTAAGCAGGGAGGCCCAGACTTCCCTCTCTCCATCCGCTTGGGCCAGCTCCTCCAGGGGAATCCTAAGGTAATTTTAAGAACAGGTGCAGTGTCGTCTTCTCACCTCTATAAATCTCAAGATGCACTGCAGGATATCACACATTAGCGTTTTCATGTTTTTCAGTACCCCAAATTACACGTGTCATGAAGCTAGCTTAAGTTGACATGAAATTGGTAAGAGCTTTTACACTTAAGAAAAGGCAAATATCACTATAGAGCTCCGGACCCCACGTGACTCTCAGTTAGTAGACGCCATATTGGCAGGTAAAAGAAGGTAAACCAACACGGATGTAAACATGAACATGAACAGGATCAGCTTGGATTTTACTTTGTCGGAGTTTACTTCACACTTTAAAACCGAAGAAATTGTTATATATAGTCAGAAATTAAATAGACTAAACATCTCCGACCCTTACCGTGCCCCTGGGATACTTTTTAAAAACGCCAGAAGCTGTCGGAGCGGACTTCTTACCGGACCTGGCCGGGGAACCCCTTGGGATTTACCCGGAGGAGCTGGCTCATCAGGTGGCTGGGTAGAGGGAAGTCTGGTCCTCTCGACGCTACTGCCCCCGTGACCCGACTCCGGATATGCGGATGAAAATGGATGGATGGACAAATAACAGATTTACACGTAAGTAGTTTAAATAGAGTGTTGTGCTGTTTGAATGTATAAACTGAACGCCAAGAGAAATCACTAGTTTGATTGTTTTCCGTGAATAAAATAAATATGTCAGGCAGGAGCGTCTCAGGATCTGTCTGAGATCTGTCTCGGTGAGACAGATAATGGCAATCCAAAGTGCTTTTTATGTGTGATCTGACAATTGATCAACCATTGCTTAAAAATTAAATACAGCTTAGCCGGTTAATTGCTGTGATCATTAAACACGTAAACGGCAGCACGCAGAACTCACGAGGCAACGTTTTACGTGACGTTTACTTGTTGCTGTGAGTAATAAGACAGAAAAAGCCACGCCAAAATAAGTTTAGGAAGCCCACTAAGAATCATAATAAAAACATTTAAAATAAATACCATACACAGTTGAGGAAACGTTGGTTCAAGTACCTGATATGAAGTGGTCGCTGCATAAGCGAAAACCTTTACTCTCGGGATCCCACAGCTTCATTTCAGCCCGGTCACTAGTGCGTTTTATTACAATGATCCAACGTTTGCGGCGCTCCGGATCTTGGGGAATCCTGTAGATGGCTCATTCCTTATGTCGTCCGTGTCTGTTCTGCATCCTGGGGCACAACAGGAATCTACCATATTTCCTGTCTGATTGCGTTTTCTGACAATAACAAATAGTCCAGCTGCCGGCTTCTGCCTGCCAAGATGGCGCCGTTTCGATTTCAACTGTTGCATGCCGGGAGAAGTGACGTCAACTCCCGGAGCTCTATATCAGCGC